CCTTAAATTTAATCCTAAAATTTATAGTGGCTCACCATTTAATATACAAATTTAAGGAGATTAGGCGGGCTGAACGTGAAATGTGAAAATAAAAAGGGCGCTCTATCACGTCTGTGTCCTTAATAGAAAAGCACCTGCTATATTCTGCTATATGCCTTTGTAAAATTAAGGTCAATCTCATAGAAACCTAAATAGTGTAAAATTCAAACTTGGTCTATAACGTCTGTGACCTGGAAAATATAGTGAATGCCTAATTTTAATCAAAATTTTTGCCACTTAACAGACGATTATTGTGAAAACAAAAAGGGCGCTCTATCACGACTCAGTCCTGAAAAGGATAGTGAAGTGCTATTTTTCTTTCAAAATATACGTCAATTCGAACACAGAACCTTAAATTTTATCCTAAAATTTATAGGGGCTCACCATTTAATATACAAATTTAAGGAGATTAGGCGGGCTGAACGTGAAATGTGAAAATAAAAAGGGCGCTCTATCACGTCTGTGTCCTTAATAGAAAAGCACTTGCTATATTCTGCTATATGCCTTAGTAAAATTAAGGTCAATCTCATAGAAACCTAAATAGTGTAAAACTCAAACTTGGTCTATAACGTCTGTGACCTGGAAAATATAGTGAATGCCTAATTTTAATCAAAATTTTTGCCACTTAACAGACGATTATTGTGAAAACAAAAAGGGCGCTCTATCACGACTCAGTCCTGAAAAGGATAGTGAAGTGCTATTTTTTTTCAAAATATACGTCAATTCGCACACAGAACCTTAAATTTTATCCTAAAATTTATAGTGGCTCACCATTTAATATACAAATTTAAGGAGATTAGGCGGGCTGAACGTGAAATGTGAAAATAAAAAGGGCGCTCTATCACGTCTGTGTCCTTAATAGAAAAGCAATTGCTATATTCTGCTATATGCCTTTGTAAAAATAAGGTCAATCTCATAGAAACCTAAATAGTGTAAAATTCAAACTTGGTCTATAACGTCTGTGACCTGGAAAATATAGTGAATGCCTAATTTTAATCAAAATTTTTGCCACTTAACAGACGATTATTGTGAAAACAAAAAGGGCGCTCTATCACGACTCATTCCTGAAAAGGATAGTGAAGTGCTATTTTTTTTCAAAATATACGTCAATTCGCACACAGAACCTTAAATTTAATCCTAAAATTTATAGTGGCTCACCATTTAATATACAAATTTAAGGAGATTAGGCGGGCTGAACGTGAAATGTGAAAATAAAAAGGGCGCTCTATCACGTCTGTGTCCTTAATAGAAAAGCAATTGCTATATTCTGCTATATGCCTTTGTAAAAATAAGGTCAATCTCATAGAAACCTAAATAGTGTAAAATTCAAACTTGGTCTATAACGTCTGTGACCTGGAAAATATAGTGAATGCCTAATTTTAATCAAAATTTTTGCCACTTAACAGACGATTATTGTGAAAACAAAAAGGGCGCTCTATCACGACTCAGTCCTGAAAAGGATAGTGAAGTGCTATTTTTCTTTCAAAATATACGTCAATTCGAACACAGAACCTTAAATTTTATCCTAAAATTTATAGTGGCTCACCATTTAATATACAAATTTAAGGAGATTAGGCGGGCTGAACGTGAAATGTGAAAATAAAAAGGGCGCTCTATCACGTCTGTGTCCTTAATAGAAAAGCAATTGCTATATTCTGCTATATGCCTTAGTAAAATTAAGGTCAATCTCATAGAAACCTAAATAGTGTAAAACTCAAACTTGGTCTATAACGTCTGTGACCTGGAAAATATAGTGAATGCCTAATTTTAATCAAAATTTTTGCCACTTAACAGACGATTATTGTGAAAACAAAAAGGGCGCTCTATCACGACTCAGTCCTGAAAAGGATAGTGAAGTGCTATTTTTTTTCAAAATATACGTCAATTCGCACACAGAACCTTAAATTTAATCCTAAAATTTATAGTGGCTCACCATTTAATATACAAATTTAAGGATATTAGGCGGGCTGAACGTGAAATGTGAAAATAAAAAGGGCGCTCTATCACGTCTGTGTCCTTAATAGAAAAGCACTTGCAATATTCTGCTATATGCCTTTGTAAAATTAAGGTCAATCTCATAGAAACCTTAATAGTGTAAAACTCAAACTTGGTCTATAACGTCTGTGACCTGGAAAATATAGTGAATGCCTAATTTTAATCAAAATTTTTGCCACTTAACAGACGATTATAGTGAAAACAAAAAGGGCGCTCTATCACGACTCAGTCCTGAAAAGGATAGTGAAGTGCTATTTTTCTTTCAAAATATACGTCAATTCGCACACAGAACCTTAAATTTTATCCTAAAATTTATAGTGGCTCACCATTTAATATACAAATTTAAGGAGATTAGGCGGGCTGAACGTGAAATGTGAAAATAAAAAGGGCGCTCTATCACGTCTGTGTCCTTAATAGAAAAGCACTTGCTATATTCTGCTATATGCCTTTGTAAAATTAAGGTCAATCTCATAGAAACCTAAATAGAGTAAAATTCAAACTTGGTCTATAACGTCTGTGACCTGGAAAATATAGTGAATGCCTAATTTTAATCAAAATTTTTGCCACTTAACAGACGATTATTGTGAAAACAAAAAGGGCGCTCTATCACGACTCAGTCCTGAAAAGGATAGTGAAGTGCTATTTTTTTTCAAAATATACGTCAATTCGCACACAGAACCTTAAATTTAATCCTAAAATTTATAGTGGCTCACCATTTAATATACAAATTTAAGGAGATTAGGCGGGCTGAACGTGAAATGTGAAAATAAAAAGGGCGCTCTATCACGTCTGTGTCCTTAATAGAAAAGCACTTGCTATATTCTGCTATATGCCTTTGTAAAATTAAGGTCAATCTCATAGAAACCTAAATAGTGTAAAACTCAAACTTGGTCTATAACGTCTGTGACCTGGAAAATATAGTGAATGCCTAATTTTAATCAAAATTTTTGCCACTTAACAGACGATTATTGTGAAAACAAAAAGGGCGCTCTATCACGACTCAGTCCTGAAAAGGATAGTGAAGTGCTATTTTTTTTCAAAATATACGTCAATTCGCACACAGAACCTTAAATTTTATCCTAAAATTTATAGTGGCTCACCATTTAATATACAAATTTAAGGAGATTAGGCGGGCTGAACGTGAAATGTGAAAATAAAAAGGGCGCTCTATCACGTCTGTGTCCTTAATAGAAAAGCAATTGCTATATTCTGCTATATGCCTTTGTAAAAATAAGGTCAATCTCATAGAAACCTAAATAGTGTAAAATTCAAACTTGGTCTATAACGTCTGTGACCTGGAAAATATAGTGAATGCCTAATTTTAATCAAAATTTTTGCCACTTAACAGACGATTATTGTGAAAACAAAAAGGGCGCTCTATCACGACTCAGTCCTGAAAAGGATAGTGAAGTGCTATTTTTTTTCAAAATATACGTCAATTCGCACACAGAACCTTAAATTTAATCCTAAAATTTATAGTGGCTCACCATTTAATATACAAATTTAAGGAGATTAGGCGGGCTGAACGTGAAATGTGAAAATAAAAAGGGCGCTCTATCACGTCTGTGTCCTTAATAGAAAAGCAATTGCTATATTCTGCTATATGCCTTTGTAAAAATAAGGTCAATCTCATAGAAACCTAAATAGTGTAAAATTCAAACTTGGTCTATAACGTCTGTGACCTGGAAAATATAGTGAATGCCTAATTTTAATCAAAATTTTTGCCACTTAACAGACGATTATTGTGAAAACAAAAAGGGCGCTCTATCACGACTCAGTCCTGAAAAGGATAGTGAAGTGCTATTTTTCTTTCAAAATATACGTCAATTCGAACACAGAACCTTAAATTTTATCCTAAAATTTATAGTGGCTCACCATTTAATATACAAATTTAAGGAGATTAGGCGGGCTGAACGTGAAATGTGAAAATAAAAAGGGCGCTCTATCACGTCTGTGTCCTTAATAGAAAAGCACTTGCTATATTCTGCTATATGCCTTTGTAAAATTAAGGTCAATCTCATAGAAACCTAAATAGTGTAAAATTCAAACTTGGTCTATAACGTCTGTGACCTGGAAAATATAGTGAATGCCTAATTTTAATCAAAATTTTTGCCACTTAACAGACGATTATAGTGAAAACAAAAAGGGCGCTCTATCACGACTCAGTCCTGAAAAGGATAGTGAAGTGCTATTTTTTTTCAAAATATACGTCAATTCGCACACAGAACCTTAAATTTAATCCTAAAATTTATAGTGGCTCACCATTTAATATACAAATTTAAGGAGATTAGGCGGGCTGAACGTGAAATGTGAAAATAAAAAGGGCGCTCTATCACGTCTGTGTCCTTAATAGAAAAGCACTTGCTATATTCTGCTATATGCCTTTGTAAAATTAAGGTCAATCTCATAGAAACCTAAATAGTGTAAAATTCAAACTTGGTCTATAACGTCTGTGACCTGGAAAATATAGTGAATGCCTAATTTTAATCAAAATTGTTGCCACTTAACAGACGATTATTGTGAAAACAAAAAGGGCGCTCTATCACGACTCAGTCCTGAAAAGGATAGTGAAGTGCTATTTTTCTTTCAAAATATACGTCAATTCGCCAACAGAACCTTAAATTTTATCCTAAAATTGATAGTGGCTTGCTCTCTTATATTCAATTTTTAGGTGATTAGTTGGGTCGAAAACGTGAATTCTGAAAATGAATTTTATTTTTGTATATGAATTATTCAAATTCAAGATTTACTAGGTAGGAATTTTTTTTAATTTTCAATTTCATTATGCTTGAATTCGAGAGCCAAGCTACTTGTCTGGTCGGCAAGAATGTTTATTTTTTTTCTTCATATTATGCGTACAGAAAAATTCTTAAAAAAAACTTATTTTTCTTGAAAAATACACAATTTTTATTATCTCTTCAATTTCTTCAAACTGTAGTAGTCAATCTGCTAATTTTTATTCAAGATGAAAGTTTATTTTCGCATTATGTAGTAGTTTTAAGTTAAATTATATTTTATATATTTAATGAAAAACATACTGCTAATGGATTTCCAAGTGGACCGCATCCTCCCTCGAAAGTCACCTCAAATGTACCAGTCGCAAACTTTTGCTAAAAATCAGTCGGAGGACGGCGGCATTTGAGAATATTTAATGAATATGCAACTTTTACGGTTTGTTTGTATTAAAAATTAAGGATGTTCTCATTTGGTGAGCCTCAGAAGAATTGTAATTGTGGCAGTTTTTATATAAAACCGAATTGAGCCACCAAAATAATTAACTCTTTCTAATTTTATTACTGGCCAAATTAAACTGTCTATATAAACTACAAAAAAGTGGCTTCATTAGTTTCGTTTTTATGTGACTTTGCAATTTTGAAAAATGCCGCTGGAAAAATTTCCCAATCTGCCACAGTCGAGCCTTTTTGGTGACTCGGCGGCCCTAATCAAAATTGGCTCTATTTGAGAATAAAGTAAAATTGTCTTTCAGACTTCATCAGACAAATTAATAAAAAAATGTTGGTTATTACTCTGATCGAATCCCTTAAATTAACCGTAAGTGGTGAACATATTTATTGGATATTATACACTAATATCAATTGAGTACATTAAGTCATCACAAACTTGCCACAGATGCATCCACAATGGCATTACCTACCATGCATAATTTTAAAATTACATTTGATTTAAGTAAAGTTTTAATATAATATAATAAAATACTACAGCAAGAACATAAAAAGATCAAAATTTTGGAATAACATTTCTTAATGACCTGATACGATAACATCTAGTCTTAGAGTTTAAGCATGCTAAATACAAAATCAACATTTATCAAAACATGGCAAATTAATGCACAAATTTGGTGCAACTCTTCTGAAAGCACAATAAACAAAACAACCTTAGTCTCTTCCACCTAAGATGAAATAATGTGATGTGGTGAATTGTCGCAGTGGTTGCGGCTAAAAACTATTCCGAAGCTAGACTAGATGTCTTTAAGTCGGGATGGCACAAATGCTAAACAAGCGAGTGAGTTCGTTTGCGGCCAGGGAGGGACTCGTGCTATTGACATCGGTCGTTCTTAATTGCAGAACTAAGATCGCTGAAATACTGGTGTGCCATCGCATCCTCCGCTGACATCCGAAGAGCAGGATTACACACAAGCAGATGCTGAAATTTAAAAACATTTTTTAGGGTCTAATGATTTAATAAAATAAAAATTACTTAAAAACCACAGAAGTTGGAGTTATGGGGATAAAAGATTTAAAATTTTTTTTATCTTTGTGGAGCATTCAATAATTGAGTCATACAGCAAATAAAATATAAATATTAGAAGTCAAGCATAATTATTAATTAAATTTAATTTCTTCTCATTGTTTCCAATTTTCTTTTTTGTAAGTTGAGCGTTTTGAATTTTTTTCATCTAAATACCTGCAACAAATCACGCCCTTTTGAACTGAGTTTTGGCACCACTTGTGAAAAGCTCATGCTAGGATGATAGATTGGGAATGCTTTGAAGTCTGGCAGTTGAGTTACTCCTGGCCAGGTGCTCTCGGTCGGAGTGCCAAGCAGCTTGAAGATCCGTTTCAGCTGATCATCAACGTCAGACCCAGGGAATAAAGGACGACCAGCATTGGCCAGCTCTGAAGAATTCAAAATTAGTAAAATTCCCTCTATTATTGGTCAAACAAAAGGTTACCTGCGAAAATGCATCCAGCCGACCACATGTCGATGGACGTGGTGTAGAGTTTGGCTCCGAAAAGGACGTCGGGTGGACGGTACCAGAGGGTGACGACCTCGGCAGAATAACATTTGACCGGAATGCCAAAAGCTCGGGCCAGACCAAAGTCAGCCAGCTTCAATTCACCGTTCTATAAGAACAAACAATAATTGGAGAGTAGTATTGGAAAAATTCATGCTTTTTTACATTTAATACTAAATTATCAAGTCCTCTGATTCTTTTTTTTACTAGTGAAGACTGAGGAACTAAATTTTAAAATGAGTAGCTGATTTGTAAAAAAAAAGCATTGGACCTGCAGAAAATACCAAAAAAACAGACACAAAAATCTGGGTGATAGAATTTGATAGAAAACAACCCTCTTTTGATTATTTTGGGGTAAAGCTGACCTTGTTTATAAGCAAATTTTGAGGTTTGAGATCGCGATGCAGGACATTGTGGCTGTGACAAAACGCCAGTCCTCGGAGAAGTTGATACCTTTGGAGAATTAATACATCAATTATATATATAACTTAAAGGTCGGTTTGAGATTTACATGAAAGACTTGACGACGTCGGGGTCGATTTCTCCGTTGAGACTGTCAAAGTACTTTTTCAAGTCTTGGTCGCAGTGCTCGAAGACCAAAGTCAGCTTTTTGTCGCTGTGCAGAACATCGTAGAGACGCACTATGTTCTTGTGCTTCAACTCCTTCAGCAGACAAATCTCCCTCAAGGCGGACGAAGGCACACCCTGATCACAAAAGATAGAATAATTTACACTCCGAACTAGCAGGGATTAAATTTGTCAATTTTTATACCTCGTCGTCGTCGTCCAGCCTAACTCTTTTCAGAGCTACTATTTCGTGTGTTTCACGATTCTTCGCTTTGAACACGGTTCCGTAAGTACCTAGTGAAATTAAATCAATTAGTGAAACTAAAATAAATTTTTTTATAAAAATCTATACATAATTTTCATAAACAAATGTATGTAATTTATTGGAGAAAATTATCTAACGAACGAATTCCTATAAAATTACGTGTGTTGAATTGAAAAGGAATGAAATGTTGACAAACCTTCGCCGATTTTCTCCAATTTCTCGTATTTCTGCATGATATATTGGCCTGAAAAAATTGGTCTCACAAAAATTGGCTGTCAAAGACAAAAGCCGGTGTTTTTGCTACTAATTTAGCAGGTCAAAGCTTCAATAAACTTTCGGCGGACGAAGAATTCATGTCTTCAAACAAGCTAATGCAGATCTGAATTTGCGAGAGCCGTCCTTATTTTGCAAAACACTTAATTTCCACTGAAAGTTTGGAAAATTCAGCTGCACCTGGATAATTTGTACGGCAATGTTGATGTTGACGTCACAGAGCGCCACGCCCCCCAAAAGAAGAGCTCCTGCGGCGGCAAAGCGAAGAACGAACATGACTTTTTTTTAATAGCTCAGTTTAATTAAAATCACCTGAATTCACAATTCACTGAGGATAGATTCATTGAAAATTAAAATTAACACACTTCTCAATTTTAATTAAACGATCATATTTCATTGAATTTTACAAGTAAATTAATGAAAATTTTCTATTTTTTTTATTATTCATAAAAGATTTAACTAAAAAATATTGAGAGATTAAAAGCTACACTTGCTATCACATTAATCAAGGAAACTGAAAGTTAGCATCTTCCTAGTCTAATATTTTATTTCTGTTAATTTCATTAATTTAACTTAATCTTTCAATAATTAAGATTTTAAAATTACTCAGTCTCTTATAAAATTATTAATGCATTGCTTAATTAGCATCCAGGCAAAATTATTTAAATTATTAGTTGCAAGATTATAGATTATTTTATACAATTTAAAGGGCATGAGACTGTCACTGAAGGTAGGGTTGTCCTGCACATATTTCACTGCCGTTCAGGGCTCTGAAAGCGTCAATCACAAAGAGCACGCTGGTTACGCATGAAAGGACGCCCTTCCACATTCCATATCGCACGACCTAAATAAAAAAGTAAAAAATAAAAATTAGAAAAAAAAATTAGAATTATAACTTTTTCAAAAATTTTAAATGTTTTTTCAACATTAAATTAAATTAGATTTCTAATAACATTCCACTTGTCCAATATAATTTATGTTATTATATGTGAATAATTTTTTCCATTTTTTTTTTTTTTTTTTTTTTTTAAGAAATTATAAAATGAAGTGAGTGAATGATGCTTTTGAGCTTACAATTAATTCTCTTGGCTCATCGTCCCAAAATCTCAGGCAAGCCACTCCGGATGCTAAGAACAAGATTGCACCCAAGACGCTGTAAAGTGCATCCTAAAAATTAAAAATAAATACGATGCAAATTATTTCTTTTCCTTCCTAATAAAATTTCAGATTAAAATTCAGTTCAAAATAAAGAAGAAAAGAATGCTTGCCACGTGACTTGGAAGAGGCGTTTTGATGCATTCAGCGAAGGCGCCGCCGAATTCCACAATCAGCATGCCGATGAAAGTGACCGACAGAAGCCAAAAATGCTCCATGTCGGCTGGTTTTAGGCTCATTGCGTGCAAGGTGAGGCAGGCTACAGTGAATATCTGCAAAAATATTAGAAAAATCAAAATTGTAAGAGAACATTTTAAAATTATTGCATGTAATTATTTTTATTCATTTCTAATCAGATCAATTTTGACACTTTTGTCATGATAGAATAATTAGTAATAAATTTAAAATCCCTTTCATTTTGATTATTTATTTTTCACATCTTTCTTTCTTCCATGACTTACATCTGACATTATCAAAAAAAAAAAAAAAAAAATTGGACGCACTTTTAGCCGAGCTTATTAATAAGATTAATAAGCAATTTCAATATTATTTATTTCCTCCTGAGAAGTACAAATAGCGAGCCCGGCAGGAATAATGCAGAGTGAGAGACACACCTGGCCTGTGCAAGGTCGTACACTCACTTAATCGGCACCACCGACAGATCTCAACTTCCAGCTATGTTATTGCCTGGCGCCTCTCGATCGTCTCTCTCACAATCAGGTGCCGCGCGTGAGAGAGCAAATAATTCAGTCGCTCGCAAATCATCTCATCACCACCATGTGATGCAGCTCTGATGGTGGTGCGTTTTCCGAATTCCTCGTCCAGGCAAGTAAGTTTACTTTGAATATGCTTCTGTTATCGCTCCCCTCTCCCAATCAAGGATCAATTCTATCAATTTTCTTTTCTTTCGAGACTGCAGTTTAAATTTTCAAAAAATGGAATTGATTTATCGAAGGGCGAACAAACGTTTCCCGTTTGAAATCTAAATATGGCATTGGAGGAAGTAGATCCAGCATTTGTCACAAACAGAAAGCTCTAAAGAGCGGTTATAATAAGGGAATTTAATTTATTTTCAAGTAGGAAAATATAAAAACAACATTAAACACGATTTTGTAACTCATGATGGTCCTGATCAATTTTTTTTTTATCTTAAACAATTTAATTTTGAAAAGTGTAAGTATTAGATCAAAATAAAAATTAAATTAATTAATGAGAATAATTGTTATAATTTTCTTTCACTTATTTTAAACAACTTTTTACATTTTTATTATTTTAAATCAAGTTTTTATAATTTTGATTTTTTAAATCTTTAAATTTAATTAATTATGTTTTTATATCCCATTTGTTTTAATCTTAAATTTGTTTACTAACTCACTAAATTAATATAAAAAATTATTTAAAATCAAACAAACAGGTTTTTTTTATCAATTTGCTAATTTCATAGTTAAAGTTATCTCATTTCATTTCAACAATGCTGCCCTCCATAAATGTTACAAAAATATAAATTAAAATAAAAGTAAATCTGAAATTATTTTATCTTGCAAAAATGTAATTCTATAAAAAAAAACATGAATTTTTTAATTATACTTCTTATACATAATTTTCTTACTCAGCAACTTTCCTTAAAATTTGATAATAACATCGCTTGGAAAAATTTATTCTTTTTACTTTGGACTACTTCTTAGGAGTCTATTGTAATTTTCCCACATAAGTAATATTTGTATACGTCGGAATGCGTGTAAAATTGTTATGCCCATGATCATGAAGCCCCAAATATTACATTTTGCAATATGTTAAGCAATATTTTAAATGAAAAAGTGAAGAAACACACTTTCGGACCAATTTTTATTTATTGAAATTAGGTTGACGTATAAATTCCGTGGTACCTAAGGCTAAATTTAAAAAAAAAATCAGAATTTGATGTAAATCCCTTGAACCCCATATTTTTTCCATAGAATCAACATTTAATGTCATATGCATCAGTAAAAAAATAGCGTTTTAAAAATGTTGGGGCGAATTTCATCAATATGTGGGCTGTGGCCTTAAATCAGAATTTGACTCACCAATTCCAAAAACTTGACGCAAGGCAGTCGGCAGCAGCGGGCCATGGCTGGCGCACGATCTTAACCCTGAGAGCTCCGTTCGCCGACTGGAAAGAAACACATCGGGCGCGAAATAAGCATGTTGACCCTCACTGCGAATAAAAATTCACCTACAATAAAACCACGAGCAATTGAGCCTCCGCGTTTCTCTCTCACCAAGATCGGGTCGCGCGCACCGGATCAAATGTGCGTACAAATAAATCTCATTGAAAAAGAAAGAATTGCCTTCTCCAATGGCACACCAATCAATGAAACAAGCTTTAAGCATTGTTTGTCCTACTTTTCTCTCGCGTTCTTCAATTATCTTGGCTCAAGTACCGCATCCTTTCAATTAATAGCCTTTGAAAATTATCCGCTCCGTGTAATGTAAAAATATAAAAATCAATGCCGATGAAGATGGACAGAAATTAATTAAATCAATTAAATTACTTTGAATATGAAAAAGTTTGGCTTCTGTTAGAGTAAAAGAGCGAATAATGCAAATAACAAGAGTGTGAGGTGAAAATATAATAATTTTATTTCCATTTAGAGACACACAATTATATAAAACATCAGATTCTTAATTTTATATTAGCTTTCAGCTTAGCAGACTTTTAGGGTTAGACGTGTTTTCTTTTTTTTTCCTTTGTCAGAGCCTACTGTAATCTCAGTCAGTATGTATTTTTTTTTTATCAGCAACGCTCACTATTTTGATATTTATTTTATTTAAAATTTAAAAACACCCATAAATATTATTTCATGCAAAGTTTGTACCCTCAACTTGAGGTTTATTTTGTGCAAAGGGAAAAATGGTGGGTAGAAATGCAGATATTAAAATTTATGAAACGGCAGAGCCACAGAGTTAGGGCTGGTTGAAATCAGCTGTTTCAATCGCGGAAAGTGAAAACGAGGTCGAGCAGGAAAATGACGGCGTTGATGATGGCAATGGAACCCTTGGCAACGCCGATGTTCTTTTTGTCCTTATCGATGGTGATCCACTGGTTGTTGTAGTACTGAATGGTCAGCACACCGCTAGCAGCGAAAAGGGCAACACCACACAAGCTGTAGAACATGTCCTGGAAAAAAATGGGGGGAAAATTAGAAGTTTAAAAATAATTTTGAAAATAAAATGGATAATAGAGCTTAAATCGATTTAAAAAATTTCATTGAATTAAATTCTGAAATCATTGGTTACTTACAACACGCTTGGGCATGGGCTGGCCAGAAATAATGCCCGCAAAGATGCCAGCCAGGACAACAAGGAAACCTCCAAAGGTGGCTGAGATGATGATGTGGGCATGAAGATCAGCTGCCTCAAAACTGTGGTAGTGCAGCCCGATCAGGACGCATGTCAAGACCTATAAAAGGAAATTGATAAATTATTGAAATTAAAAGTTCTCTTCAGTAAGTGGTGATCAATTACGGGAAATGATAAATGTTTTCAGTATTAATAATTTAAATAAGTTTTTTGTTTAAAATTTCATTACTTTATTTTTTTTAGTAAAATAAAATGGCATGGGATAGTCTGTTTATTTAAATAACATTTAATGATATAACAAATTATTCGTACAAAAAGTATCATTTAATGGGTGCCTCCCGAAAAGGCTCGGCAAATTAACCTTGTGCCGTAAGTTTCCATTCCCACGCATGATTTCGGCATCCTTGGATTTATTTTAATACAAAACATACATTTTAAGTGGTTCCTAACATAATTATTTCCAATTTCGCAACTGCGTAATTTTTATGATTCAATAAAATAAAAAGTTTTTCCTTACCAATTCTATGATCTTGAGGATGGAAACTCTGCTGAAGGATGCCATTTTTTAGGATTTTTCTGCCTGAAAAAAAAATATCAAAAAAATTAGTTCGTTGGGTAATTGCAGAGAAAAACCAGAAATAAAAAAGAAATTCTCTCATGAACCCAGGCGTTTCATATACAGCTTTTCATAAAAATACCGCTCGTGATGGCCTCTGTGACCTCTCGACCGGCGTTCGATTATTTGATTGATGAAGCCGACCAATTCCTCTGAACGAGATTATTTACGACTTGAAATTACAGGGCGTGTTATTGCCTCATCTCTTTATTATTATATATACGCAATGTAAAAAGTAATGCAATATTTATACTTCTTTACTAAAGTATATTTAATTTCAAAATATAACACTTGAGTTGAGTTTGATTTTTGTCCAAAGTTTTATTTTAATAATTAAAGTTGAAACGGATCAACCAAGTTAATTTTCTCTCCCCACTTTCGAAGGAGAGACAATAAGGCACCGCGCCTTTATAGCTTTGGTTGAACACCAACTCGGCTCTCGCAGCTCTCTGATCTCATCTCTCCACCCAAATGCCTTCAAGAAACGCTGTTTCTGTCGAGGTTGTTGCGTCATTATATTAATATTCTTAAAGCATTCTCACATCGTTTGGTATGGATGGTGGTATCATAAAAATTACGTCACAGTCTACTAAAATCTTCTAAATTGTAATCCTATTAACAACAAAGAAAATAACATCCGGGAATTCGAATTTAAATTGTTCGCAAAGCTTTACTAATTTCCAGCAAAATATTTGGCAGAATTAAAAAAAATTTAATTTAATTTCCTGAGAGTAAATTAATTATTCATCTCCGACATCTCTGTCGAGAAAGGATTTGGCCTTTTTTTTTAACATTCATTTTCGAGCACCAAATTTGTAGCAACATAACAACCTCAAATTATTGTGAAATTTTATTTTATCCCAGGCAATTTTGCCGCATTTTTGTTGATGGCCTCTGCGGTTGTTCACGTCAGAGGTATGGCAAACGAAAACTTTCACTAGTTGAGTGTACCAGAGGTGTTTGAACCGCGCTTCTGAAACGTTTGGTGCTCAATCACGCAGAGACTGGCACGCATGGGATGGTGTATTCGATGCACTCCTCTGAAATAGAGGCAACATATTTCAACGCCGTATGGTAATAATTAACCCAAGCTCCACACAGAACGACAAGATAATATACAGAGAACTGCGTAAATAATCAAAAGTTTATTTTTAAACAAGTAAATATTTGCAGTTGTCATTAATTGAGCCTGACTGCATTTAGAATGAATAAAAATTTACTATTTAAAAAATGTACTCGGATTGGATGGAATTACCCCTGAACGAGTGGAGTAAAAATGCCAGTCAGAGGCGTGGTGCGATGCGAGGGTGTCATGGTTAATTTTAGCCCACGCGCCGCCGAATGTCTAGCGAGGATTCAAACGGCGCGTCTCGCGAGCATTAAAATTGTTATTCAAGGAGCGCAGCTGCCTTTTTAGAGATGCGATCAAAGAAACGCACAAAAGAAATATAGTGAAGATCTCTCTAATGCGCTTATTTACTGCGAATTGGAGAAGAATGCTCTCGTGACTGAGGAGGTCAGGGTGACATCATCAAAACAATTTTTCCATCACCTTGACTCAAGAAGAGGCTTCGCTAAGAAAAAGTCTCTAAAGTCTCAAAATTGCAGGAAAGATATTTATTTATAAATTGCGTTTCAAAGAAAACAAGTTCTTTGCACAATTATAAAAAGTCACGCGTTTTTTTATATGTTATTGACAGTTCTATTGATACCCACAAGTTGGTATCATTGATTGATTTTAAAGGACTCGTTATTGTTAAAGTCAAATATTCAAATCCTAGCAACAATGGGGGCCAAAATTTGCGATTGTTGGAAGACGATTGGAAATTTTTTCCATTATTGTAAATAAAATCATATTTCAAAAATGAAAACAAAATCATGTATTGTTAAACTTTTTAAATTTTTAAAATCATTTTCTACGTCGTAAAAATTCAAATTTGAAAATGGCCGGAAGGAGGTTCCGAATCGGACTGATCAAACCTGAAAAGTCCGTAGCCCTTTCTCCTGCGTATTCCAGCAACGTCACCAATCACGGCCGATTTCAACTTTTCGCCGACCTGCTGGAAGACGAGCCGGACACTTCCATGCTCGTCCTGGCAGCCTGCAGGGACGGCGACCTCGTCAAGCTAAGCCCGGACCTGCAGAGGTCTCGGACCATCACAATTTCGACCAAAGCCTTTGCCTGTCCGACCGACCGGACTCGAGCCGAGCAACTCAAGATAACGATCGACGAGACGTTTGTGCGACGAGTGGTTGATCAAAGTAGTGGCTCAAAATTGAATTTTGAGTCATTGGACTTGAGCGACGTCCAGTGCGGTTTCTTCTCCATCGACGAAATCAACGAGAGAAAATTAAAGTCGTTGGAAATCAAGTTGCCGGGACGATTGATCAACTTCCTGCAAGATTACGAGCGAGACAAGTCGAAGAATGAAGAAGAGGGATTGTCACGCCTGAGTAGACAGGAACTTCTGCAAGTTACGAGGGAGACTAGGGGACGTAAAAAGCTGCAGCCCCGAAAGGAGGCCGAGAGTAATTTTTTGGAGGTGTCTTTGAAGCCCAAGAGCTACTACGATTTGAATGGACGCAGACACGTCGTCGAAAAGGAAGGCGAGAAGAAAAAGAAGAGGCGCAATTTGAAGGAGCAAAACCGGTGGTGGGTGAGATTGTCCGAGCCGCGGATTAGGGAAATCGGGAAGTATTACGAAGAGCAGGTGGAGATTGAGCAAGAGATTGATCAGACTGCCAATGAGGAGACTTTGCCCGAAGAAAATAAAAACGAATTTGTCTTTTAATTGGATATGGATTTGAAATTTAAAATATTAATCAGAAATACACAATTAAATAAACTTCCAATTGAGATGCTCATCTTGTTAACCGCTTTCTCGACGAATCCATTAAAGAAAATATATAATAAATAAATAAAATATAACTCAGCAGTTATGTATTCAGAAAAATTTCCTTAGAAATGCACTATTATATTGTTAATAAAAGTATTTTTTTGCTTTCTATATTTGAAATATCTTTGACAGCAATCGCAGAGCACACAAATTAGGTAAAAGGAAGTTGTATGTAATATTTTTTTAACGGCGCATTCATAATTTTCCTAAAATGTCAACAAGTCGTTGCACAAAAACGGAATGAGAATTTACATAGACAAAGCGCATCGCACTTTCCATACAAGCTAATGTGCGCATTGTGTTTTGTCTGTGGAGAGGAGTGCATCACGCGATCTTTCCACATGCATGGGAATATATAATCAAATAAATGCATCGTGGCCAAGAACACAAAGTTGGGGGAGGGCCGCGCGCTATATACGTGGGAGCAGCGCGCATCCAAATAACAACAACCGCGCGCGGCCTGTTCGTCTTGATGACCACAGGATTTTTTTTTATTCCACCTCCCCTTCTCATTCCGATGCTGTCGGTTGGCGTCCTTTTAAAAAGAGCAGCTCGAAAGGCCAAAACACCTTCCAGAGAATTCTGCTAATCTGGATGGAAATTACAACTTTTTCACAACTTTTAACATCAAAATCTCTAAGGATAATCGGCGTGGAATGGATTATTTTTTTTTTTGAACAGGTGCACGCATCTGGAATATACGCTCTATACTGACCATCCTTAAACCAACGCCCATATATTTCTAGAAAAGATTATTTTTGCGAAAAAGAAACACCGGTGGAAATAACAAAAATAGAATTATTCTTTTCATTAAAACTTTGGAAAAGCTGTATTAAATGATATATTCGCCCGAGCGTAAATAAAATTTGTACATGGAAAAGTAAATCGGTGCTCACCGTTCGTGGAAGCGAAGTGGAAGCGTTCGTACTCCTCGCGCACCGGACAAAGCCTGAGTTGGATTTTCAGGCGCGGTTCTCTCTCATAAAAGCGGCGGCTTCGGTGCAGCCACGCATGCGCCCTCGGCAAAAATGCTAACCTTTGGTGCTCTCAGGTCGGCTGATGATGTCATTTTTCGTCAGGTGAGCGACGATGAGTCAGGTATTACGTGCTGTAAACAAGTATACGTAATCAATTTTGGGACGAGGCATAATATGCAAAAATGTATCATGACGTGGGCAACGTTCGTATATTTATATTTCTGCAGCCTCCGCGGCTTTAAAATTTATGTGAATATTGAGGAATGGTACAGATGCAGGCAGGGTTTAGTGGCGACGAGTCAAATCATTTTGGAAAAAATGGTTTTGTACTGTTATTGTTAATTATAAAAAATTTAAAAGGCAAATAAAATTATAAAAATATAAATTTTTTAAATTATGGTTGATGCAAAGCTTTTTCAACTTTGTTTATAAAATATAGTTTTTAATTATTATCTGAAATATGTTTCATTTCAATTAAAATATCAATTGCAGCTTTGTATTTTTACTCCCTGTTTAATAATACATTCATTTCACTCAATTCTAATTTTTATTTAATGAAGACAAACTTAGAAATCCAAAACTTTTTCTTTCTTATCAATTGAAAATTTTCACTCTGTACAATGTGTTAAGTCAAGATGGTTGAGTCTGACCATTATGTCTCAAGTCTCAATGAGCAATGTCCGTTAATTCTTATCAGTCCAATGGTTGTCGGCCTCGTGGTAATGAGTAAGAAACATGATATAATGATGATGCATGCATCATCATAATCTTGCATTTGTTTTTTTCTTCCTTTTAATTTTTCATGTGAAAACACGCAGTTAGTGAAATAATAAACGTGATTTGATTTTAAAACTGGAAAAACTAAGCTGCAATAAACAGTAACAATGGAAGGTGAAAAAAGTATATAAAAATTAAAATTACTTATTCTATATTTAAATATTTTGTAAGACAATAAAATGCGACATAAATTGTTGAGTTTTGTTCATTTTGCATTGAAAAGTGTCAAATACTCATACTGCTGGTTAATTTCTTTTGCAGAAAAAAATGACGCGATCACCTATTTAGTTAAAATTACCAATTTTCACATCATGACAACAAAAGCCGCGGTTATAATTTACATTCATTATGAACATGAGCGAACCGCTAAAAATATACTCGTTACTTATTCACCACACATTTTGCTGCTCACTTCATTTATTTCTCTTGGTGCTCACTTGGTGCCCACTTCAAGTCACTCAAGCTCTACGTGGTGTCGCTCTCTAGCGGTGAACATGGAAAAAGCTCGAGACTGGTTTTTAGTTAGTCACGATTCCTGAATTAAAAAATAGATTTTCTCATAAAACATGCGCGCATTTAAAAAATTGTATTATTTTTGCAATAGTTGCAGTAGAAAAAGGGATGAAGAAATTCAAATAAATTTAGAAGTACTGAACGAAAAATATAAATTTGTTTTTATCGACGTTTCTTAAAAATCATTTTTAGCCAAAAACTTGAAAATTGGAAAACAAATTGTAGAATGGGTTAAAATTAAGTAGCTGATATAATTATATTAAATTAATTCATTTTTATTTTATAATTCATATATAAAAATAAAACATATTGAAAACCAGTTGGAAAAGTGAAGGAAAACCGCTATGGTGTACGCGATTTGATCAGACATTTGATTTATTTAATAAATTTTTATGATTTTGCGTCTTTTTTAAAGTTTCCTCTTTCAATAACTTTGCGGTCTCCCTCTCATCAAAACCGCACGTCTGACATTTACAAACGTCATTCTTTTTGAAGGCTAAAAATAAGTGCTGAAATTTTCATAATTATCTTTTGCTCTTTCTTGATGGGTGAGACGTGAGGAGGATCTGATCATCAGATTCTGATGTGAAAAGTGAGAATAACTAATTACAAACTATTTAACTATCCGACTATTATTAACAAATTCAGTTTATTCTTTTTACACAAAAGTTTAATTTTTTGTAAATTAATGCAAAATAATATAGATATCACAATTGGTGGATTTTATTTTTATATTATTTATTGTTTAAAATATATTTTTAATTTTTTATTTATTTAAGTATTTGGATATTTTTCATCATCTTAAAACCTAATTTAACATATTAATATAAATGCTCAGATTAATTAATTTAAATTAATAAATTAAGCTTCTTATGGATTGTTTAGTGCATTATAAATTCCAAAATGTATATACTGAGTGCAATTTCAGGTATCGTGATCATTAATGTAATGATATTCAATATGATTTAAAGGTGATAATTCATCATACGATCAAAGCTAAACGTCAAATGACCGCAAAGAAATGAATAATAAATATCAATGTTTAATTAAAATGCTTTAATTTTACAAAGACCCTTTTACGTGATTTGGTTTTACTGACACTGCGCGACTTAAACACTAATAAAAAAAAAACAAAACCCTTGAAAAACACGATCACCAGAAAAAAATTGGGTTTTACAACTAAATAAGTGCAGATTTAGAACAACAAATACGAACATAGAAATTGATGCAAGGGACGGGCGAGAATCTTGAAATTATCATTACAAAGAAATATATATAATCAACATCCGGCATCCTCTGGGGAGGATGCGATCGGCATCATCAAGTGCCGGTGGCAGGATCTGCATTAGAAGTTGTGAAATGGGTGGGCCTCTCCGCAGCAGGAGACAAAATCATACAACCGCGTAATGTGTGAAATTCATTTTTGAAGGCGGAAATCCTGGATTCCCTTTCTTTACAGGCACAAAAGTAAATAACATGCGCCTCAGAAGCTTTTTTCAGCTTGTTTATAGAAATGGACATTCACGTGGAAAACCCCCGCTCGATTATTAGGCCTATCTAATTATATTAACCCGAGCGCAGATAGCTCACCTGGCAGCGCGTGGACAAATAAAAGAAATGCGCGTGTCCCCCGAGCGCTCTCACTCTATGTCACTTTCTTTTTCCTTCCCGGCTCCGAATAGGATCCTCGTCACATCACGCAAATCAAGGTTAAGCCGGATTACTCAATATCTCGTTACCTTCCTCTCTAACAAGAGCATATCGCCTTTCCTCCTCACTGGCCGCTAAAGTTCGAATCAATTATTTTACCGGCACAGGGATGAGAATTAACGTTCTTGAATAATTTTTTGCTTCGGCTCAAAATTTTTAGCCGTTTTTTGAGTCTCAAAATTGACTTTTTGGAATCCCACATGTTGCCTTGATATATTGAAATGCTTAAAATTAAAATAAAATTAAAATAATTTGCCAGAAATGACTAAAAATTTTAAAAAAAATGTATTTATAATTTTGGATTTCCTATGTTTTGACTTGAGCATGTAAAATTAGTTTTCTTTTGATGTTAGAAAAAGTTTTTTGACAAATGAGTTTCTCACATTTTTAATTTTCTGATTTTTATAGAAATCATTTTTTTATAGCGAAACTGACAATTTTGTGACATAAAACTACACTCATTTTATTCGTGAACGTAAATTTGCAAAAAAAAAAAAAATGCATTGTTTCTTGGAAATCTTGATACATTTGAGCTCAAAATTGCCTTTCAGACTATAAATAATGAGAGTATTTGGCCTTTGCAAATCGAACATAATTCTCATCCCTTCGAACAATTGAAAGTCGTAACATATACGTGAGAGGTCTTTTAAAAATAATGAAAGCATCTTACGCCGAGTGTGCATGCACGACCCAGGGTTACTCTTTATTCTTTTTGAAAATAATTGCTGGCACTTGGAGCGGCGGTCGCCGCTCCAATATAAGGTCAACTGGGAAGTCCACTTGCGGCGAGGCTTGCGTTGCCGCGCCGTGAATATTGAGCAGGGACAAATTTCAAAATTTCGCATCCTGCTCTTATCACACACACACGCTGCCTATTATAATAGATGTTCCTTGTGTAGTCGAGCCGGTAAAAGTGCAGTCTGAAAGCGAATGTGCGTTTCAATACTTTCTCTGCCAGGCTGCAAAAAAAAAGTCCAAGGAGAGAGAAAAATTCAAATTGATTTGATGCAAGAGGCGCGCGATCGGCGCGGCTCGTGCAAGGAAAATGGGACTTATTGGCAAAGAGGTAATGAGGGGCAATGAGAGTTAACGTGCGCGTTATAAAAACATAAAAACCTCAAGTGTATGTGCTTGATTATTATATTGGTAACTGCTTTCTTTGCCACGCCATTACTGCACAATTTCCAACATTCGGTACATAAAAAAACGTAAAAACCTAAAATAATAAAATATACTAAAAATATATAACAGTTAAAAAATCATTTATGATCAAATTGCACAGCTTAATGAAAGCAATATAGCAATTAATTTTTTCCAAATTGCTACTTAAATTTAAAACTTTACATTGTTGGGCCAAAAGATATGAAGGCGAATCAAAATCACTAATTAAAATGAGAATTATATTGCTAAAAAATTATAAATAATATTTTATATTTTAAGATTTTATTTTATTTGTGATAATATATTTGGTGTTATCTAATTTCGATGTTTGATCCTCTGCACAAATCAATAATAGCAGAAATTAAATAATTTTCATAGAAAAATTCCCAACAATTTGTAAATTGATAATTAAGAAAATATGCAGGCCGTTCTTTCAATAATAAAAAGACTTATTAAATTAATTTTTAAATTTTAATCAAATCAAGCATAATATTGTGTAAATAACTGCTTAGCAACGCACCTCTCGTAACATTTTTTATTCTTGTTTACTTTTCTCTCCACTCCTTATATTAATGTCCCTGTTTCGCTCTTTGTCTGGCGCGGCGTCTGGATTTTCTTCCAAATTTGGGTCAGGCGCTGTGTCGCATTTTATTTTTCACAGAAACCCTCCCATGGACGCGGAGGAGAAAAAACTCGTTTCCACGTCTTTCGTCAGCAGCATCTTTTATAGATTCAACACGTCCATAATGAAAAATTATCTCTTTAACATATTTTTTAAATTATCTTCGCACGCAAATCGTTAAGTTATGCAGCAGAAGCGCACAAGCATTACGACATTGACCTGCTCTGGCTCGCCGTTGGCCACTTCGCTCTCTGCCTTGCTCTGCGATGATATAATTTCAAGAGCTGCATTGTAAATACAAAAAATACGAGAGAGCCAGTGTCCTATTTTTTTAAATTGGCAGAACAGTCCAAGTTGGCAGCAAAACAATGGACAGGATTGTTCAGTGAATCGTTGATTTTATCACTGCTCTCTCGTAAAGTGATCTAATGACCAAGAGCAAAAATAATAATAATAATGAAGTGGAGTGTATGTAGAAGTGCGTAACATTATATTATACACACTCCAGAAAAATCTTATAAGCAGCTTTTGCTTTATTGATGATGATATTATTACTGCCCAGACTGCAATAAATATGCATGCAAAGTGCATTTAAATATTTAACGGAATCACTTTGTGAGTAAGAAAAAAAGAAAAATGCAGATAATGAAATGTGATGCAACTTTTCAGTGCAAACTTAAATTTGATTTCATACACAATTACGATCCTGTGTATTATTCTCCTCGGTCATGAAAAAAAATTTAAATCGGAAAAAAAGTGAATAACAAAAAAGCAAAGCTGCTGAAACGCCAAACATAAAAAGTGACCTTTTCCTCCTCAAGAATGGTAAACAATCTTTGTTTATGAAAATTTATCTACTTAAGTCCCATCCCTGTTTTTTTTTTTTTATCAAAAGTTCACAGAAAAAGTATTTTTTTTTTTGATCAAATTTGACGATTGAGGGAAATGAAATTTAACAATTAATGAAAATCAGTTTTTTTTTAGATAATAACAATTTGTAACAAACCCTGCTCTGTTAAATATAAAAACATTAATTAAAAAAAAAATATTTAAACAAAGCCACAACCCCAACGCAGCCGAGCCCTGACGCCTATTATCAGGGAGAAATTTCATATTTAATAAAGAATTTTGTTCTCTGGTCACCAGAACAATTAATTTGTTTATTTTTTTAATAACGTTTCTTCGGAGAAAGCAGAGCAAATCACGTAAAATAAATTGAAATACATTAATTGAAATCAGCAGATCAGCCTATGCCAATGATAAATGCGCAGTCTGCGGGCTATTCTTTGTATTCCTTTTACAATGATGCGCGCATATTGTGTTTGTATATCCAAGATAACAGTATTTTTATATGTATATTCTATGTGTGCTTTTAATTAACACGCCGGCATACAAAAGTAGAATACATCGAGTTGCTCTTTTCAACCGCTCCATTGTCACTGCGTGCAATTTAGTGGCGGTTGCAAAAAATAAACAAGTGCGTACCGGCAAATAATAATGGGGGTACCGATGAAAGAATCGTTTAATCAAGAGCTGCGATGCTCGCTTGAATTCAATCATCGCTGCCCAGCTGATGACATTCAATGTCGATCGTTCACATCAAAATTCAATAGCTCAAAAATCTATACAAGCAATGATTGTCTGCCTTTTTAAAATTTTTAATATAGATAATTTTACAGTTAATTAAAGGGGCTAAATAAAGAATTTTTTTTTAACTGGAAAAAATTAATTAAATTATTACCAAAAAAATGAGCATATTTAATTAATTTAATACTGAAAATGAGATTATTGCTATATATTATATTATATATTATATTACACAATAAAAAGGCAGGTTGCTTCATGAATTGTAACTCAAGTTGAAAATTGTGGTTTATTTATCTATCATAAAAAGGCAATTACTTATGCCCAAACCATTGCACACAACCTATTTTTAAACATTCATTGATATTGATGATTTTAAAAAATGTACCAAGGGTATTTTTTTTTTTTATAAAAATTCAATAATATTTTATAATTTAAATTTCTTTATCAGAGGAAATTCTCATGGTAAGATCTTATCTTTTCAAATGCGGTAGATTACATTTATAAAATAATAAAAACGCACAACGATTTCCAATAAGAGTTGCGCTTTTTTCCTTGTCGCATAAAACCGGATAGCGCTAGACTAGGAGTGTATCAATTTCCGATGACGTGTGGGCGAGTTATAATTATGAGAAAAAACTGGGAACAAAAAGCAACCACAAAAACTAGGTCAAAAAAATTTTCCCCGAGCCCTTTTTCTGAGATTTTGGCCAATGAATGAGTGATTTAGCTGTTTGCAGTGCACGCGGTGCGCATGGTTTATTTAAAACGAAAATAATGAAATATGGGTGCCTCGCGAGAGCAAAACCATCAGCTCGCCAGCAGCATCATGAGCTGCGGCGCTGGTCTCTTTTTATTCAGTCAGTCAGTTGACGAGAGAAAGTTGAGGCGAGTGCACGTATATTCTGCATGGTGAGCTGTGACATTTCAAAGTCGACCGCGCCACCAAGAGCACCCGTGCATGTTTTTTGATTCATTGATCTCTGTGATTGTTTATTATCAACGAGTTGTAGTTTTTTTTTGTAACCTTTCGGACATACAATTTTGCTGCTCTACCACTCCGCTGAACAGGTGAGTGCTTTAATTGCCGTTGATTTTTTACGCCGCTTGACATAGAAAGGAATGGTTTTGGCATTGACATTTTAAATGTCGGCTGATGCGAGAAAAAAAATACACGGGCCGCTCTCTGCTATATACACGCATGAATCTTTTTAATGGATTTTTTAAACTTTCGACGTTTGTGCGAGAGACTTCCTACTTTGTGAGGCAGGTCTTGAAAAGAAAACTGAATAGGCAAGTGGATGTATATGTACGCGCGCCGGTTTTCGCAAAGTGCTTGGCCTAGAAAGAGCGATCGTCATTTGTGATCGAATATCAATCTGTAATTATTACGAATTGAACCAAATTGGAGCAGCGCGATTTTGTTGGACTTAATTAATAGTTGGACATTCTAATGATATTTCGTGATTTGTATTTTCTATTATTAATTTGAACTGAAGGAACATTTGCTAAAAATTTTCAATTGTTTTAATTTTAAATAATTTATTTATTGATATCATTTTAAAATGATAAAAATTAGGCCAAATTTTTAGTTACAGCAAAAATAATTTATCTTAATCACAATCATTAATAGCGACACTGAATGTGAACGGAAAAAAACTCATTTCTGACGCATATCATCCTTTTACTATGAATCATGATGAGTTGGGAAACAAATAAATAAAGGAAAAACAATACACAAGTAGTTATGAAGATTGAAGATATAACAATTGAAATAACTTTCTATCAATCTTTTGGAGAGAGAAATTACCCAAAAGATTCTGTTGAATATCCATTCATTCACCAATTCTTTCAAGCTGCTATGCACAATTTAACTTTTTTCAAATGATTTTGTTCATGTGAACTTGAGCAGAGAACTCGTGTCAGAATAATGTGCAAACATTTCGCAATATGTAAATAAATTAGAGCGGCTTAAAAATTTACACAAATAATTTAGAAATAATGACGAAAATCTTTCACATTCACTTCAACTTAAAGAGATAAAGTGGTGAATCAAAACCTTAGAAAATTAAAAACAGATTTCCTAGCCTCAAGCAAGGATGGTAGAAATGATGAAAAGTCTTATTTTTTTACTATTGTTGTTTATTTGTCCAAAATATTTTAAAATATATATAAATATTTCTTTATTAAAAAAAAAAAAACAATTCCTGATGATGGATCAGTTTTAAAATTTGAAAGACGTTTCACAGATACAAAAAAGCTGTTATTATTGTAATTTATTTTTAGTATTTAGTACATTTTTAGAGAAAAGTGATTTTTTCCATCTGTCCAAAATACATTGTTTCAGCTTTTGTTATTAAAAAAATTCAACAAAATTGCTGGTCATCACCATCTTTATGCTTTTGATAAAAATGCATATAATCCAGAACGGAAATAAAAACACAAAATAAAAACTAAAAACCTGTCACTTTTTTACAAACTCTGAGGCCTCCTCCACAAGTCCACAAGGGTCTTGAATACTTTTTTTATTTTGATTGGAAAATTGTATTCCGCTGTGGGGCTGCTTTGTGTGGTCAGGTTTGGAAATTGGTTCTGGCAGAGCAGCACATTAGACACACATTGCTGCTGCTGCACTTTACATTTCCTTTCCAATTGATTCCCCTCTCGCACCGTCTTGTGTTGCTTATCCGCGGTTGAACCTTTCTTTGTTGTGCCTCCACCTCCTCCTCCGGCGCGCAGACACTGGCAGTCAGGTGCGCCTCTGCCTGGCTTGCCTACCTGCGATCGCGCGGTGCATTCGAGTGCCCGCAACCGCGCCGCAAAGTAGTGTACCCTGCAGTGCGAGATTCCGAAATTCCTTGTGCATCTCGGGGAGGATCCGAGAGGGATAAAATGTGAACAGAACCGCGTCGCCATATTTCGCCTGTCGCGCAGATTCACAAAGGATACTTTCGCGGAATCAATCGATCGCCTCGCTGCCGAAACAGGTAAAACATCACAACGTGAGGAGAATGGCAATCAGCCGTCTGCGCTGCCCATTAGCCGCCAGTTTATGAGAGAATTCGTATCGCAGACTCCTTCGTTTGACCTCATTTTGGCCCGGGTCAATTTCGGTGTTTTTTTCGTCTTGCGTCTGCATCTGACTCACCGAGGCATTTCTTTTATTTTTTAAACGCAGGAAATTCGAATCAATTCATCTCCGCTGAATTCGCACAGGGCCCGGATAGAAATATGAGTCACTGTGCAGCAGGGATGGCTGAACAGGTGTGTAACTCAAGTCCCGAGAGGAAAGGAAAAGCCGACGCCGCCGCTCGACACCTAAGTGCGGCTGTCAAATTGAATTTTATTACGGGTGGGTGAATCATGCTCTAATGCTCAGGGCGCAGCGTTAATTGATTTTGTGGATAATTAGAGGTGATTAACTTTGAAAGAGTGACCGGCCCCACGTTGGATGGAATTTAATATTTTGAAATATAAAGTAATGAATATTTAAGAAAAATATTTGTCATTTTGAACATAATTATGTACCGGTTTATACTATAAATCACTTCAGACGGTAAATAAATTTTTTTAGACCTTGTTTATATAAAAAACATGTATATTATTAACAAATACTAAATTATCATTTTTCTTCAAGTTCTTGCTGGAATTAGGTAGAATTATTGAATAAAATTATGCTGAAAATTATTCGTATTGTTATATAATAATTTATATTTTTATTATAATTTATTTTGTTTAATATTTTAAAATTAAATTTCAACCCAAAAGTCTGCCTTATTCTATTCCAAAATAAGGAACAATCGATTACTAAATATAAATTTTTTTTTATTTTTATGTATCTTAAATCGTCTCCCATAGAGTTAGGTTTTCTTTCTTATTGTCGTTGATATTTAAGGAAAAATGAGTTATAGAATGAATAAATAATTTTTAATTGCTTAGATTTGACAAGAAACTCGTTGTTTTACATATAATTAATGTGATAATAAGAGAGACAGGGAGACAACGCCCTGTTACCTCTTTTAAACATTTTGTATACTTTTTACTTCCGACTGCCGACAAACGAAATTTGAAAGCAAAATTGTTTGAGCATTTCATTTTGTTTAGCATTGAGTCAGTTGCCTTCTATGTTGCTGTTAAGAGATTAGAATTTTATCATCTTTACAATCTCTTTCCGTTGTTGCAAATTTAGGGAGGCTCCCATCCGCCTTGTATAATTATTCAAATGTTTAAATAACAATATTTTCAATTGCAGCAACATTCCCGTTCCCAAAGCACACGCCCGTCAATTGCTCCGCGCAGTTTATTATTTCTCTTATATATCAGCAGCAATACTCTGGTTTCAACACCAGATAAATTAAACAAGCGCAAAAGAGTAAATAAACAAACTGCTTAATAGTCGAGCGCACGACATTAAACACTACTGAGAAAATGTGTCAAAACAAAAATTTTTCGTCACGCTCTTTTATTCATTCATGTAACACTCAATCGACGTAATTATAAAACTACCTACTTATTATTTTGCATCTCTCGTAATCTGCATAGAAAGGGGAGATGGCCGAGATTTGCGGCGCTATTTTTGACTTTGTGTCTTTTGGCGATCAAAATAATGATTGGAAATGATTAGCGCGCCGCCTAGAGCGCGAGTGCCAACACAGCGACTGGGCATTGTGTGTATCCAGTGGTAGAGAAGAGAGCCTTTAAATTACAGTTATGTAGTCGATTGGTCTTATTCTTTTTTATATAATGCATGTCGCGTCCATCAGCGCAGTCCGTCATTATCAGCGGCGCTGCTTTTGCTCTCTTGAGATGCAGCTCATCCCAGTAGAGTTTGGAAAGTTCCGATCTCGCGCGAGGTTAACACATAATCGAAGCAACTTAATTGTTTATTAAAACGAAAGAGGGTGAATAATATAATATGAGGATAAATAAAGATTTCCTTTCGTTTTTTGTATAACTTTCGGAGATTATAACTCGGTCTGGATTTAGAAACTAACACGGCTTGTCCTGATTTTTCTGTATAACACGTGTAAGGGAATTATTAGGAAAGTACACGGTTATTTTTAATAACGCGCCTGGGTTTACCTATGCTCGCATAGGTTAATTTGAAAGCACAACAAGGAAAGCCGAAAAGCGGTCAGCTGTCTCTTTTTCTCCTCGTCAACTTCTAATTGTAATTTCTTTTAGACTTTTGATGCACTGAAAAGATTCTTCTGCAGATTTTAAACTTTGAAGATTATAGCAAATAGAATAAAAACAAAATGCTTATTAAAGACTTACAGAGATTTTACATTTGAATGAATGAATCATTTCCATTAACAGACGAGACATTTAAGGCTCTCTGGTGAGAATAGATTGAATAGAATTACAACTTTCACAAAATACTGAAAATTTGACATATTTCTTAAAATAATTAAACAGTTTTTAGCAGAATATTTCCTGAGAATTAAAATTTCAATAAAAATCAATAAAATTACATACAAATTGAAAGAGTTTAAAAAGAAAATATAGCTTAAAAATTAATCTTTCCATTCGTCTCTTTAAATAACATCCAAACAGGTATAATAAAATTATGAACATTCTCCTTACGTGTGTAGATTATGCCCGAAGGATAGAGTTGAAGGTTGCGACAAAAACTTCTCAAATTATTTTCCATCGCACAAACCGCACGTACCTTTTTTTAACTCTTTTTGCCAGCGTCTCGGCCGCACGAGAAGAACTTTTATTCCGTATATGTTTATTTAGATTTGGTTAGAAAGTAGAGCTTGATGTAATTTATTGCGTCAACTTTGTCAATTGGCTTCGGTGAGGTCTTTTCTTGTAGCTATTAATCTTTGGAGATGCTGCTGCAGACCTCATTCCAAGGTGAATTATGGAGAGATACGCTCGGACCTATAATATAAAAGCATACAAAACAGACACACCGCGGCGCGTTTTGGTGTCTACGCGCTTCATTCAATTATTATGGCCGCTCTTCGTCTCGTCTTCCTCTTTCTCCTTAATTTAGTAGAACTTGACCGCCTTCCTGATAAAACTCCACGGGCGTTCTCTTCTTTTGACTTTATATAAGCTCGTAAAATCTCTTGGACCAGATGAAATAATGCTAATTAAAAATTGATTTCTGATATTTTTCTTTTTCAATTCTGCAGAACCGGCCAATATTCCAGTGATAAAATGTAGTTTTTCCTTGAAAACGCCTTTTCTGCTGTCAGGGACGTGCAAAATCGTGACGGGAGTTAATTTTTATTACATCATGAAAACTCATCTCTCGCCGCCCGAGTGCGGGTCTCGTGCTGTAATATACGCTCCACCGCTCAGTTGTATATTTTCATTAAAATGTTGACGGAACGTGGGAAACCAATGCTTTTTATACACGTTCTGAGAGAATGACTTTATTCACCTCCCGTGGCACTTCTTATGTATCTCCGTAGCTGTTTTTACTACAATTCTCACTGCGGCTTCTCCCCTACCTTTTATATTCTTAATAGACTTTAAAAATATGAACGCACCAAAATTGGAGTGCTCAAGAAAAGTCGTGCTGTAACTGTATTAATCTTTAACATTTCTGGTCGTTGAGACACTTTTATTACCATAAAATGCATCAAAATACTTGTAATAAAAATAGATAACTCAAAAAAATGAATAATTTTGTCTAGATAATAACTTTAATTGAATTGTTTTGCCTTTTTAGAATGTTCTATTTTATAGAAGTCAGGCTTTCGTGAATAATCAACCTTGACGTTTGTGCACCGTTTAAATTAAATATTATGGCTTACAATGCACAAATAAACAAATTTAAAGCTAGTAATAGCCTTGGAGGGGTAAAAACTCAACAACATTTGTGAGTGGGACAGAAATTCAAACCCTGTGTCAAAAAGAAATACATTTCAGCAAATGTTTGATTTGTTAAATAGTCACAATTGATCATCAGAGATAACGAAGTTTCCAGTAGCAGCAATAAAAAATAATACAAAAACGTTCTCTAATTAGTTCAAATGAGAAAGTTCAGTCTTGAAAATTGCACTGCTCAAATATGCCAAAAAGCAGGTTATTCAAAAAGATTTACAAGCAAACTTGTAGTTATTAAAATTAAATGTCTATTAACTTATATGTTTTTAAAAATATATTTAATTTGTTCACGTAAATCATTAAATATTTTTTATTTTTTATTAAAATAATTTTGTCTTTAATATTTTTATTTTTTACCTTATTAAAAACGGCTTTCAGTAATCAATATTAAGTTAATTAATCAGTTTTTTAAAACAACTTTTATTGAGACCTTGAGTTCTAAACATTTTGTATAAATAATAAATACAAGTTACTGCTTGGCCAAATTTTAATGATAAATTCTCTCCATTAAAATTGAATTCTGGTCTACTCCCGATAATCGAAAAAAATAAAATTTGACATTTCTTCATATCTGGCTCCATTTAAGCTATACTAGGCTTAGTAGACTTAATTAGGAAACACTTAAATGCTTTAAAATTGAGCCTATAATTATAGATTTTATTATCAACTTTTTTATCATAAACAATTCTCTCTTGTTCTAATTGCCACTTCCATTTTTTTGTAAAATGTTTGTGAGATCGATAGAAAATAATTTAAATTCACCGAACAAAAAAATAATATGAAATTTTGCCGTTTCTCGTAGGCCAACCCTTTCAGAAACGTTAAAGCAGAGTTCTTTTATTTATAAAATCTTGGCAGCGTCCAACGTGCCAACACAAGCGTGTGAAGAAACAAATCTTGCTGGTCGCACGTTCTTTTCTTTTGCACCGGACGAGAAGTTTGCTCCCTGCGAGCAAATATATGCATTGAAGAGAGTGAGATGCGCCGCGCACACGTCATACAAAAATGTTTTTGCACGTCGGTGAATTTAAACACTGAAACCGTGGCCTACTTTTGACCAGCGCGGTCTGCCTCTCTATATATTAGTGTGTCCGACGTCAACGTTTGGACACAAACACTTGCCAGTTTATTCAACACACATTATAAATGCACTTTCATCGCCAATAATAACGAACGACGGACTTTCATTTTCCAATTTAATCGCTCGCCTGGCGACACTCTTCTTTGGCTCTCGCATAATTTTCAACGACAGATCCACTTTCATAATGCAATTATGCGTATGCTAACTTTAATAACAAGAAGGCAATTAGATAAATCAGCAACATACGCGCTGCTGCCGGTGTTTATGATGAAGCATTGTAATTATTAGTATTATCAGAGGGTAATAAATAAAGGTTTTATTGACTTCAAATTTTCACCAGTAAAACATGCAGAGAAATGAAACTCGCTATATATTTTTTTTAATTGTGTACAATTTTTAAATATTATTACAGATTTAAACCAATTTTTCAAGAATAAATAAATGCATTTTCAAAATTAAATTTTCCATTCAAATTGATTTTTTTTTTACAATTGAATAATTTATTTTGTAAAGAAAAGCTAAGATAATTATTCATTTTAACAACAAATTTAAAAACCCCTTTCTTTCTTTAAATTCTAAGAAATTTAATCCTGAAAAGAAATCTGATTACTTTTTTTAAATTTTATTTTCATGGCCTTGCAACGTGCTCCATTTTTGCACAAATTTCCTGGTCTACCGTGGCAAGCTGTATAATAATGTTGATGTGTCAGTTTTCGTCTCATATATTTTACGCTCACCCGCGCTTCCTGCGGTAGTCCGTCTTGTCATTACGAAAAATTCACGTTCTGAAAAGTGTGTTAATTTATTCAAACATCCCGCAGCGTGTAGAATGATGTGCTGCTCTATCTAGAAAAGGAGGCTTCCTTCCATGGCTGCTGCTCGCGCGGCTGATATCAGTGACCCGACCATTCATGATGTTTTGGTGTGAATAACCCCTAGAGAGCGCCTCTGCGATGCCATGCACTTTTTGTTTGATGCCGCACCACCATCATTATGTTCATTTTCACGCATTTGTGGATAATCAAAAACTTCTCTCCGCGATTCGCCGGCCTAGCTAGCTAGAGTTGTTTGTGTGAAAAGTGTGTAGAGAGAAAAGCGCAGCTCCTCCTTTAATCGTCCCGCAGCACTTTTTGCCTTCCGCCTCAATAGACCGCGTAATAATAGAGAAGCGCACAAGTGGCTGGCAAAAAGCCGAGCCATTGTTCGAAATTACGAAAAAAAACGCGTCTCGTGACTTACTAAATTATTGACTTTCATTTTCTAATTAATTAATTTTGAATGAAGAAAGTAATGTATACGAGATTTGATGAATAATGAAAAAAATTAAGCCTCTCTTTTTAAAAAGAAGCAACTTTTTAGTTTTTCTATTTTTGATAAAACACCCCTGAAAAATCTTAAAAATATCTTCAAAAATATTTGTTTTATAAAAAAAGAGAACAGGAGGAAATGTATAAATTTAATCATTAACCTAACAATGTATTTTTATTGCAGTCCATTTTAGAAAGGCCTAAAATTTGCCAGAATTTACAGAATCAATATTTGATCGTGTTAGAAGAAATTAAAAGCATTTAATTTGGTCTGAACATTTTAAATTTTTTCATAACTCTGCAATTTAGGATTTTTTTATTCTTTCCCATCAAATTTCAAATGAAAGAAATTCGGAGCTGCCAATTTCAATTGCAATTTTTTTTGCCACACCATTAAACTCACTTCCTCCTCCTAACTTGTGCGTTTAATAACTCAAGTGACACCCACTCACAGTTACATTACATCCTCTTTCGGCTGGGCCGCTGTGTGAATATTAATAGTCGTTTTTTTTTTCAAACTCACATGCAAGTGTTACTCATTAATTTTATTGCGCAGCTCAATTTCTTGTATATATGAACTGTGAACTTGCTGAGGTTCGCAGAGTTTTTTTCTTTTATCTTATTGATGAACAAAAAGAAGAAGTGCTGGCTGGTTCACTTTGTTTGCAAAAACAGGGAAAGGTCGCACAGCAGAAATCTACCAGCATGAACTTGAAATATACCGTACGGATGCAAAGTATAATAGGGGTTTATCTTTTTTTCCATTAAATAATAATAATAATGCGTCGTCACTTTCATAGAGTTTACAACTGTGAAAACCTTCGGAAGCTTTTCCATCTCTGAAGGAAAACCCGTGGCTTAATTACAGCAATAAACATTTTTTTGCCAGTGAGTCTCAAATGCTCTGATCGGTTTCTCGATTGTTCCTAACCCTGGAGTTGCGCGCTGACAAATATCTTTTAATGGGTTTTTAGAGCAAGTAAGAAGTGTTATTGCTCTAGATGAAACAAAGACGCGATTACATAATGATTAGGCCAACCAGTTCGCCGCCGAGTGCACTCCATCCATAAAATAATGCTGGAGAGACTTGTCGGATTGTTATCAATTTTATTTTTTCCAACCAGCCAACCTTTGTAAGATTAATTGCTTAATGCGAGTTTTAATTAACCGCCTTGTGATTCGAAAAAAGCATCGGAGCATATAAATGAATTTAAATATATAAAAGCGCCGCGCGTGTATTGTCGACGGCGCTCTCCTAATTTATGCACTCGAGTACACATAATGAGAGTGCGCGGCGGTGAGCTTGTTCCAGGTTAATAACAAGCACACTTAAAGAAAGCTGCCATGTCCTGCGGCTGCGAGACGCGCGGAGAGCACAATAAAAGTGTCGCTGTTATTGTCGATGTTTGTGACACCTGTAAAATGTTCACCACCTTGAGCGCTGATTTATACATTTGCAGCAGTTCAGTTAAATAATAATACTACTTTAACTCCCAAACAGTCTCAACTCTCTAATGTAATAATAATTTGTAATGAATTGATTGAAACTTATTGCGTTTGAGTTTGATACAAAGAGGCAAAAGTATTTGCTGCATTAAAATAATTTTACGAAAATTTTTGTTTAAACTGTGATTTTACTTATTGCAATAATAATTAAGTGGCTTTTTTACTATCTTAAATTTTCCACGATTATAAAAGCAGAAGCACTATTTGCTTGAAGCACATAATTCCAAAGAAATCGCTGAAATTATCTCAGAGACAGTTTTAAGAAATAAACTATTATTTAGGCTGCACAATTTTCAACAAAAAAAGGGTTTGTTTGACTCATATTAATTTGCTCTTATTGTTAGAATCAATTTAAAAATTCAAAATTTCTGATGCGGTGTAGTTTAAAGGTTTTAAATTATTGGCAATTTTTTTTATTAAAAGGATAATGACGGAAACATTATTATTTCATTTAAAAATGTTATCTCCTTGCTCAAAAATAACTATGTTTGTATTTCACTAATTTCTTTAAACTTTTGTTGCAGATGGGGGTGCATGAAGGGAGGCACGAAGAAGTCCGCTGGCAGCTACCCAAAGTTGCGGTCAGTTAACTTTCGGGTGGCCGCAAAATGCACTTCGGCCGACTTCAAGTGAGCTTGGCCGTCGCCGTGCTGACGGCGCTGCTCAGCGCCATCAGCGCGGCGCCGACGGCAGCGACGCCGTCGTCGCGTCTCGACGAGCAGGGCTTCTGGAAGGCGTGGGTGTTGTTCGAGGACCCTGCCGTGCAGCACTCGGAGGAGACCGGCCGTCGGAAGGGTCAGATCATGCCCAAGAGCATCTTCATCGCGCCCGTCGTCAAGGACCAAATGCCCGACTGCGCCCCTGGCTACCAGGCGGACGCCCTCGGCAGGTGCAACAAACTGGTCAAGGTCAACCAAAACGCGCAGCTCGGCTTCCTGCTGCAGAAACTCAACGCCATGTACGGCGGCGCCAACTCGGAAAAGTTCTCGGCGCCCAAAAAACCGACCACCACCGAAGGTCCGCTGCAACTTTCCATCCCTCTGGATGGAGGTGTCCGGGTGGAGAATTTGACATCTACGACCACCACTGAAAGTCCTCCGACCACGACGGAGCCGACGGAGGTGGCCGAAGTCATGGTGGTGGCTGCCCAGGTCGAGTTCGATGATGAGACAAAGAGCACCGCCCTGCCAGGGGCGATCGTCACCCTGTGGCACGTCAACAACGACACCACCCTGACCACCACCCTGCCAGAGGTGACCGAGACTGATGAAACCGTCACCCCTACAGAAATGACCACCCCTCCTGTTGGCCCTGAGGAGGAAGAAACCACCCCTCCTCCGATTGAGCTTGAAGAGGTGATCAGCGCAAGCACCATTCCTCCTGTTGAGGAAGACGAAGGTACAACCCTGGTGACCACCACTTCCCCCGAGGAAGAGGACAGTATTGTGGCCACCACGACGCCAAAGACCCCCTGGAGGCGGCCAGCACTGCCCGATCCGGTAAAAATTATTTCAAAGCCGGCAGATCCGGATCAGGTTGCTGTGATCGAGGCCGAATTTCTCCCTGAGGAACTGGAGGAACCTGACGCGGAGGTCGGCACCCCCACCCCTCTGGCCCACCATGAAAGTCAATCAAGTCCGGTCATCCTGGACAGGCCGTATCCCCCAGCATTCCAGAGGCCCTCCCAAAGTGAAGTTGTGTTGACCGACCTGAGTGTGGGCAACTCGAGTCCCAATGGGCAGTGGGGCCGACCTTCTGCCAAATTGGAGCAGACGCCACCTGTTGTGCCATCGCCGGATAGGATAATCTTCCCTGATGAGAAGTACAGGAACGGGGGCAAGCCCTGGGCGTGGGGAAATTGGGAGCAAACGACCCCGAGGCCGTTGCTGCTCAACTTTTACTCGCACCTGCCGCAAGTCAGTCACAATCAGGGCGGCGGTGGTCGACGGACGCACCTGAGCCACTCGAACCTCTTCCCAGCGCCGGGCAGGCAAACCCCATTATATTATCAGGAGCTGTCAGGTCACGATGTGGCTAATGTGCTGGGCAGGCCTTGGCGGCACTACCGAAATCAATACAGACATTGAAAACAACAAGTATATAGAGAGACTCTTTCTAGTAAAAGAGAGTGAGTGCTATTATGTTTGTAGGTGGAGTTCGAAGAAAAGAAATTTACTCAATTATTCAAAGTGTTATGGAAAGTTTAGAGTAAAGATGTACAATTGTATTATTTATATCACTGTCTTGTATTTTATTCTCAAAAAATACTCGATCCTACACAAAAAACAAAATCGTTTTATTCTTTCGCTGTAGTAAATTAGGCATAACCTGCTTGCCCTATTGTTCTGATTACAATCGCAGCTCTAGTACTGTGACATGTGCTGCTCAATTTAAAAGTATCACAACAAAATTGATCAATGGTTTTTTTTTAATCATGTAGCACATAATGACAAATTTGTGCGAGACTCGGATAACAAAGTGGCAATATAATATAATAAATTACATGATCGTATAAATATAATTATGACAGTGTGATCACAAAAAACAACTGAATGAGTACACATTTACATTTTCAGCACAACACCTTAACTTGTTCATTCAAGTTGCCTACACGCTCATTTTGTGGAACTCAGAAAGTGAGACACCAATTCGCTTAAAATTTAATGTACTCAGCATTTCCATTCTTATTGTTCACAATAGTTCTAATATTTTATGAAATAAATAATATTATAAATAAATACTAAAACATGTTGTGATCGGTCAGTCATCTAGCTTTTCTATTATAAAAACAATATGTCTTCACTTAATCATTCATGTATTGAGACTAGATAGTAAAATTGTCAACATATATTTTGAGCGGAATTTAAAAAAAAGGATTGCATTGTTTTTCTGTGTATACAACTATAGGTGGTGAAGCAGCATGCTTTAATCAAACTATTTTTGCCGCCTTTTTTGTAGATAATGCTAACTAAAAGCTCAGAACGCGCATTGATTACGGTTTGTCTTGATCTCAGAGATACGGAAAAATAAAGAACAAATTACTCATGTAGACCAGCTTCTAAAAATTGGTTTCCTTGGTTATTCGTCTAAAATCCCCTTCAAACCCGCTTCAATTTATGATCAAAGGGCTGACTGATGTTTTGAAGCAGTTGACGAGACGGGCAAAGGCTTTATCCTTCCACGATTTAACGGACTAGGTTCCCAACCTAACAAACGGAACACTTAGTAAATCCAACGCACATCACATAACAGAAACAGACTAACTATTTTGACACTTTAAAATTCTCCGAATATGAGTGGCAGAGAAACAAACGAGCAGAAATTAAAATCAATAACGTCTACTGGGATTACACATAGTTCTGTACTTACGGCCACACTTGGCCTCCCTGATGTTCTTCTGCAGAAAAATTTTGTCTTCGGCCTCGAGCACCAGCATGTTTCTCAGAAGCTCCACCATGACACCTCTTGCATGAGCAACGGCGCGCATGTAGTAAACACCAACGCTGCAAATAATTAATTTTGATTAATATCAATTTGGTTATTCTGGGAAAACTGGCTCAACTGCCGAGCAGCAGCTGCACCAAATTACGCAACTCACCACAGCGCAATGATATAGCCAGCAACGACGCCAGGTTTGAACACCCACTTTCCTATCTTGTACCAGTTGCTGTCTCTGTCAATATTGTCCCACTTTCTTAAAATGATTTCGTATGCGTGCCCGAAGTCCCGAAATGGCCCACAGCCTTTTGACGTTGGAACCCTGGAAAAAATTTGAAGTCAAGATTGGCAAGATAAATTTTAGCAATCATAGTACCGTGTCATCGTGTACCCCAGCGAGAAAATAACCCCGATAATTGCAAGGAAGGTGAGGGCCAGGAAGACTGTTTGAATCTGAGCAGCTCGCCATGATCTTGATGGCGGTTTGCAGTTATGCAAAACACATGCCTAAAAGTAATTCAAATTTATTATAAAAATAAAGCACCATTTTTGCTTTTATTCGCTTACCTGCTTAACGTAAAAAGTGATAAATAGCTTGATGACTATCACTGCTGATAACAATGGGCTGTAGTAAAATCCAACCCAGAATAGGGTTTGATTGTAAATTAGGTTGAGCGTATTTCGGGCTATGTCAAATTCAGGTGCCCCTATTCCTTTCCAAACGTACCTACGAGGAAAAAGTTGCTCAATATTTATACCTTCTCAGATAATGTCAACCTCACCGATAAACAACAGCTCTGATAAACTCAGCAAGGGACGTTCCGAGCAGCGCAATAAAAAAGTCGACTAAAATGAGACGGTATGTTTCCTGTCCCAGAGACGTCTCCCAACACTGCAAAATATAAAATATTCTAGCATTCTTGATTTTTAATTTAAGAAAAATTTAGTTCTAAATTAAATTTGATTGAATTATATTAATAATATCGATTAAAAGTATTTTTTGTTAATACTTCAAATATTTTTCAAATAAACTTACTACAATGTGGGATACTGGTGACTTCCGCATCCAATACGCAAGCAAAACTCCAACAATGGCCACCTCGAGCCCAAACGTCCTGAGTAATGTGATAAACACTGAATTTCGGGGGTTAGAGTATTGCTCGATGGCACACAGACGGGAAAAGATCATGGGCAGGATCAACATCACACCAGTAACAACAAGAGACATCATCATTGATGCCTGCTGACGGCCTTCCTTGGTTCCCAGATCCTTCTAAAACATTTTTCAAAACTTCAATTGCAAATAATATTTCCTCAATCATTAACCTACACTGGATAAAAGATACTGGCGCTCAAGTAAAAACCAGACCAGTACCCCTGAACCAATCAAAAGAGAGCCAACTAAAACTGTCACGCCGACTCTGCAGGCCATCACGATGAACCTTTGCAACAAGGTTTTGGCACCACTTCGTTCGGCGTTGCTTTCTTCGTCCAACAATTCCCTGAGTTCATTGTAGAGCGTTTGCTTTCGGAGCTCGGCTGCTTCGCTGTTGGTGATTCCAAAGTCCCAGCCGCAGAAGATGCGCTGTGCGTACACGTTGGTGAAGCCGCCCTGCATTTCGATGAAATTTTTTCTGTACGACTTGGCAACTCTGAAAAGATATGACACGTAATTAACCAATTGAGAATGCCAGATGCCAGTTGGAAACACTCACTTGATAGATAGCACGATGACCGTAAATAAGTAGCAAGCTGCTGTGGTGAAGAAATAGGCGTCTGGCATGTTATAATATTCGCCCTCATTCATGTGGACTTTGTGGTTGCAATAACTTCCATAAAACAATTCGGTGTCGGCAAGCACCCCCTACAGAATAATTTAAGCAATAATAATAATAAATTTCAATCAGATTTGAAAAATATTACCCCTCCAGTAACAAGATCTCCAAAATTGAACGTCGAGTTTATTTCCTCGTAAGGGTAAACTTTGGGCTCCAGGACCATAATGGAAGAATTAGCTAAGAAGAGTGTAATTTAATTAGAGATTTTTTTTTATAAATTAATAAATACCTGAGTTAGTAGCGTTGTTCCAGCCATAGAAACGGTCTAGCAGTTGCGGAAAAACCATGAAACAAAAACTGGAATATGCAATTTTTTGTTAGTTAAAATGTTATTAAGTTTCTTTTTGAAATAAATGACCTCATAGCAAAAACGCAGAGATTGATGAGGAACAAGCTCCTGAGGAACCTAAAGTAAGTTGCCACTCCAGTGCCAAATCTGCCCTCGATGGACTTGATGGTGCTTCCCCAGAGTTCAAAATTGCTGAGGAACTCTCTGGTGCCACAGTTAACCTTCCGGAAAGACTTTTTCAATCTGTACTTGAACCACTTGGTCGGATCGGAAGGTGAGTTTTGGTTTCTGATGTTAATGTTGTAGCACAGTTTGGCTTTGACGTTGCGCTTCAGCTCCATCGCTTCAGCCATTCCTCGCACCGTTTGCCTTGAAAAACAATAATTAACTCGGTAAATAATTTTAATTGGATTAAAATTACAATCGCAGTTGTTCGGAAGCAGGAGAGTCGGCCATGAGTGTATCATCGTTTTCAATGGCTTGGATTAACTCTTCGGCGTAGGTGCTCGTCGACATTCTGTGTGTCGGGTTTCGCAGGGTGACGTAGCCTGGGGTGGAACACTGGCTGGCCTTCCTGGTACGTATCAAACGATGAGGCTTGGCCCAGCTCGGACTGAGGCTGATGGGAGTCATAGCAGCTGAAATGAGACATAAAATAAGAAGAGTCGGAAATAACACCAGATTCAAAGATGTTGGAGATAAAAGTAACATATATAGCCAGGCTCCGAATATAACAAATATTATATAATACTTAATGAGATCAAAATTTGCCATGCAAATTTATTCCATTTTGAAAATATTGAATAAAAAAAATTTTGAATAAAAAAAAAATGCAAAATATGACACATTAAATTAAATTAATTCTGATATAATTTTGTGATACATTCAATGATAATTAATAAAATTCAATTTGTATCATTTTGATTTTTTTTCTGTAAAATTATTATTATTTTTGTGAGTTTGAAATTATGTGTAAAAAAATCTGTTAGCAGTGGTTATAACAAGGGAGATTTTCTATTCAGTTTCGTTTGTGTTGTTGTAGAAAAAATTTTTAATGCTTTTTATTGTTTTATCATGTTGTTATAATTGAAAGTGGCAGTTTTTATAAGTTGTTTATAGTTTTATAGAAAAAACAATATCCTGCACTTATTGTTTTTCCTATGAATAAGTGACTAAAAATAATTCCCAGGGAACTGCCAGGCCGTTTTGTTAATTCAAACATTCAAACGACATATTCTCTTTTTAATGCTCAATTATTATTATTATTTGGGTTCTGATTTTAATATTTTACTTAGAAAATCAACAAATTTGTAAAAAAAAATTGAATGCTGCTAAAATGCAAGAAAATCATTTCATTTTTGATGAAACGAAGCTCAGTATTATATTCGGCTCACTACAGATTCAAAATATGAAGCGAATCTAGCAGGCACGAGCAGAGAGAAAGAGCAAATCTCATGTATGTATTATTAATGCTAATCATAGTCAGCTGATGGCGAGGGTCACTGACCAACGTTGTGCGAAGGCAGAGATTCGAGATCACTGGAAGCGGAGTTGATGTTGATATGCAGATGGTTGGGCCGCGGGCGGCGCCGCGCCGAGTGGTTGTTGTTGGGCAGCACGGTGTCGACCACCTTGACGCCGACGCCGCCGTTGTCGGTCACGATGATCGGAGGCACCACTGCGGAGCAAAGAGCAGAGAAAAATTAAAAAAATCGGGGCCGAGAGTGCGAGTCGGGGCGGCAATTACGCTCACAATCGTTCATGGGTATGTTCTCGGTGTCCTCAGTCTCGTTGTCCTCGTCAATGTCCGAGATGGACGCGGCATCGTGGCTCCCTCTTCTCCGCTCCTCGACCATCGCTACGCTCGGGAGAAGAGGTTCCAACTCCTTTTCCTTTTCAGAAGCCACAGCTGCGCTTAAATGTCGCGTCGCCGTCGTGACAATGAGTGATTTTTTTTTTGCTTCGGAACTTTTTTGTTTGCAAAATTTTCTATTTTTTATTAATGAAAGTATTGACGAGCGGTGCGTCGGCCGTGCGAGCTGTGAATACTGTGAAATGAGGGAAAAGTCGCCCCCCTCGGTCGGTCGCTCTCGGACCTATCGGACTCTTCCATTTTATCTTATCATTGCGGGAGGAGGACTGACTACTGATGGTCGAGAGACGAGAGCATGTGGATGAGGTGCGAAACTGAAATCAAAAGGGATCAGCTCTTTTAATCCAATTATTTTGTGGCGGGGCCAGGCATGCTCGCCGCCGCCGCTCGTGTCAGACTTCCGGCCTTGACACGATTGATCTTTCTTTCTTTCTTTGACTCGCCGAAAAGTGAATTCGATCAAATCATAATAATAACGTGCAGCCACACAAGTGGTGCTGACACAAGCGGAATTTCCTCGTAATTTGCATAAACAATTACCCATAACAAGCGAGGACAGAAATAAATTAATGGAATCGATGGGAAATGAAAGGGAAAGACAAGTTTCTAATGAAAATCAACAAAAGCACCATATTAAGCCACTACAAATAAGCAACAATAATAAATGATTTTGCCGTTTTAATGAGTAAAAAGATCGAAATAATTTGTTTTAATCTCTTTTAAATATAATTCAACATTAATGAGTTTAGAAATTATGCTAATTTAATAAAAAAAATTAAATGTTTAATTTTGATTTTTTCTATTTTGGTCTATTTACTATGCGGGTTTCTTACTCATTGAGTCAATAAATAATTTACTACATGATCAAGAGCCCTTTGTGAGCAATGAAATAATTACAAAATGAATAATTTACAAATTATTTATCAGGCGAATAAGAAATTTATTCAAGCTGCTATTGACAAATATTCTTTTAAATTACTTGCCTTACTGCGACGATGGAACAATTTTATTTGAATAAATAAAATTATCGTTTCTATGTTAATAAACTCGTTGAAATATTGGTGTAAAATTGTTTTCTTTTGCAAGTTTATTACAAGGAAAAACTAATCACTCAATCAAAAAAGTTCCATATTTTTGCTCAATATTCATTTAAAATGTTTTCCATCATCTGAATATTAAATAAAATTTCAGACAAAAACTGTTTAATTCCTTTGTATTTAAAAAATATCATCAGATAGTTATATTTTCGATTATAACTGTACAAATATTTTTGAAGCAATAAATCTAAGAATGTATGCATAGCAAATCAAATGAGTTCTTAAATCGTGGCGAAAATAGAGCTAAATAATTTCAATTACACTTCAAGGATAGGCACAAATTACATAACAATGTTTAGTCAATTAATAAAATTGGTCCAAGTGTGTTTTTATAAATTTCTTAAAAATCTTCTATAACAATTTTGATTTTAATATAACAATAAAAATGCCTTTAATTTGTTTAGAAAATAACAAATTTAATTTAATTTAAAATTAATTAAATAATATACAAAATTGTATATAAAGATAAAATTAATATTTTTTTATAATAAAAAAGCTTCAAAAAAAGTTATTCATTATAAAGAAATTTATTTTTTATGTTTGTTGAAACTCCGATAAGAACAATCATCAATATTTTTATAAAACTTTCTATCATTCAAACTATTCGAGTTTAAAACAAAATTAGAGATTTTTTTATTTTAAGTGATTTGCAAAAAAAGTTTTAAATCAATTAATATTCAAATAAGGTGCGAATTTCATTATCCAATGTCGCAGTGCAGCGCGAGACGCGGCGCCGAAAGGTCAAGCAAGAATATGGGACGATTAAGCGTAATAAAAGCGGAGCATTGTGCGGAAAAGTTAATGTCAGTGGCCACCGTTTCAGTTATACAATAAAATGCCATGGCCCAAATGGCATGGGGTGCTGCGAGGATACATAATAATCGCAGGACCCCCGCCCGACACCAAATATTACAAATCGCCGAGCAAACCAATTTGTCGACCGGAGATCGATCCGGATAATATTTGGCCTGGGCAGCATCCGAGGGCCACTCTCGGGCCATCAATCGGCCCCAGTGACACACAATATATAATAATTATATACGCGAACATCTCCCGGACCAAAATAGACCCCGAGCCTGCCGAAGAGCGAATTCGAATGATTCGGAAAATCGAGCCGCGGGTCCAGAGAATCGTGGCCGAGAGAAAGGGCGTCGGCGCCGCGCGGCGATCGGCGCCAGGGGTGGCTCGGCGCCGCCTCGATCGTGCACCAGTTTCATACTCACATTTCTACCGCAGTTGCGGACATTTTCAAGGCTAAACGAGACGGGCTGACTCGCCGTCGGAGGCCATTCACCCGGGCGAGAGGGCGGCCAGCGGCCAACGGAACGGTTCGGCGCCGACGGAAGGGGCCAAGCGTTGGCCCGGGCCGCGGGATTGTCAACGAAAATAGGCGAAATGAACGCAGTCCCGTCCGGCGACAAGGTGTGAAATCATGAAGGACTAGAAGGAAACTGAGTCTGCGCCATTCGGCCGCTGGCCGCTAGATGGCCGCTGGGACGAGCGGATTTTTCCACGGCGACGACAGCGCCGCCGGTGGAGTGTTTCCGAAGCAGGGGAGGCGCTGATTGTGAGATTTTATTATTCCGAATCCGAACGCACCGGCGGACTGACGTGCGAAGGTGTTTTACTGTAATTTTCAAGTGTTGATGTGTTTTTCACGTGTATGTCGCGATGTCTGCCGATAACGAGTGGCCAACCATCAGAGGCTGAGGATTTAACCCTGCAGGGACGAGGAAAATGTAGTTTGTGTGTGTTGGAATAATATGGGCAGCGAGAAATTCGTCTTTCTTGGATTAGTGCTGCTCGCAATCCTGCTAGTCTCCACAGCTGCTCCGGACAACTTGACTGAAGGTAAATAAAAAAATTATTTGCCAATTATTTTTTATAAATATTATATTTTTTTAATTTGGAAAATTTAAAAATTAAAAATTACAAGTTGTTTGCGTATTCCACACTTTTAATTTAATATTTATAACTAATTATTCATTAAACATTCATTGATTGACTTAAGTTTTTCTCTTATATAAATAAATATATTTTTTAATTAATAATATTGTTTAGTGCAGCGTTCTTTTTTATCTTAACTGCTTTTAAAGATGTTAAAATTTAATGCTTCATAAAAAGTATTTTCCTCAAGATTCTATTTCAAAATTCGTAAATTGCATTTTATAAGTGAGCTAAGAGACATTTTGACTTAAAACAAAGATTTTAAATTTAATTCAGCTCAAAATTTTTAATTTAAGATAATGTTGTAATTAGATTTGCATCAATTCTCGTCTCATTGTACCATTAATTGAGCAATTGGCTGAATAAGCCAACAGTTTAGTAAACATTTCAATTGTGATAAAATTAAGAGATTGGAGGATTTCTGAAATAGCACAGACCACTGACTTATATAATCGCCAAATCGAAGCTGCCTTTTTTCTCTTTTCTTTTCTCTATTTTGATGTTTACCAGCGCGCGAAAAGCAAACTGCAGTCACTTTGTTGACGCACCGGACCTCATTAACTTTTCCTCCGGTGCCTGATGCATGGCTCGGCGAACCAATAAACCTTTGAATAAAACCGCGGCTTGGTTTACAAATTTGAATAAACACACACGCGGCCATGTGCGAGTTTTTTTTCTTCTTGTGTGCTGGAAATATATTTACTCAGCCTTGGCAGCGGAGACAAAGCTCTGCCAGTCGGTTTTGTTGGAGGAGTTTGAGAAAAGTGGCCCAATAATAAAATCCAGCTTCAGGATCACAATGCGAGATCCTTCGACAAGCAGGACCTTTTTTACCTCTCCCTCGCAATATGGAAAGCTGCTGCTCAAAGGAGAGCCCGACCGACCGACATGGGCAGAGCAAAAAATTATATTGCCTGAGATCAGCCTCAGGGCACTGCGCGTTCCACCCACCTGACGACTCGAAAGGGGGTGGCGAATACTTTTGTGAATGCGTAATGCGCACAATGGTGAAAGCAGATCGTACATGTGCACCGATGGACACTCGAGTGAAAGTACACTTTTGATCAATTTGCTCACGATCTTTCTGTCATTATTGGCTTCAAGAGTCACGGTGTTCTATACAATCAATTTCATCCTTGCTTGGGTGATTGATTGAAATTATAAAATGTATAATTATATTTATAAATTGAAGTAGAATTAATAAGATTAGAAAATTTGAATTACTATTACGAACCAGATGCAAAAAATTGTGGCACAGAACAAAATAAATTAACATTTAAATTAGCGTATGAATAACAATTTTAGAAATTAATGTTAATTTCTAATCAATAAATATAGAAATATTCTTACAAAAACTTATTTTCTATTTAAAATTTCATTAAAAAAAATATTTGTACTGTTTATTGGTAAACAGAATAGAAACTATTAAAACATAGTTTCTTCATTTAATAGTTTAATAGTTTTTTTACTTAAATGCTTTTTGTTTAATATTTTATCTAGTTTGTATTGATGGACAGTAAGTTTTGAAAAACTTATTTGATGAATACGGTACATTTTTCGTCTATTGTACTCATTATCCTCTTATTCAATGTTTCTCTCTCGTCTCTGTAATGGGCATGGGAAAACGACCTTCGTCAACACAATTGAAATTGTGTTCGTTTCATCTGGCGAACAAAAGATCAATTGCGTTAAAGACACGCATTTGGAGCGAACGCCACTTCTGTAAGGCGAGAAGAATCACCTTTTTCTATTATTGTTGTGATTTGCCATAGTTGATGGAAACGAAGCTAGACTTCAAGCCTCCCATTCTCACCTGAACAAATAAATAATCCTGATTTTTCATCGCAATAATTACCCGAGCTGAATCAGCAGAATTAATTGATGATACAATCACCGAGATGATTAAGCAGAAGGACGTCTTCATTCCTGTTTCACTTTTTATTAAAAAACAAACAAAAGTTACCTCAGCTTTGGATGACATTCCTATAAGCAACATTTTTTTTATATTATGTAAACGATTTGCTTTGTAACGCAGTTTATTTGTTTCTTTTAAAAAGTTTCCGGCATTTTTCAAGTGCTGAGAGTAAATTGAATATAACTGCTCTGGTGTCAGTTTATAGCCCCATGTATATTATCGTTATAAAAAGTGGCTTGGAAAGAATTCGGTGCGCTGCAGGCAACTGCACCTCTCGTCTCTGAAACCGAGTCTCATCTTTCCTCCTCGACGTTTCCGTTTCCTTTCGAGCACACCACAGGCACTTGTGCACCATCGCTTTTTACCCCTTTGTTTCACATAGCTTGTCGTCCTGATAAGCAATAATAAACAGCCCGTCTCGTGTCGCTTTCCATTTCCTCCCTGACAAGAAAGCAGGCGACACATTTTGAAAGTTTTTTTCATACTCTTTTGAGTATTAGAATCAAAAAGCATTTTGAACAACAGCCTGGACAAAGATAATGTATTAAGTGGTAATTTGATTAATATAATTTAAAATTAAATATTTGTTACTGTTTTATACCTCGAAATTTAATTATAACTATTAACTCAATCATGCGCAGAATATATTAGTTCTTTGACAAATAATGTATTTATTGTTTGAATACCATCATGTACTTAATATTAATGTAATTTTATTTCTTTGAAAATTACTTGAAAAATTTTAAATTAATATTGGTTTTGCTTTTCTTAGGAAACCTGCATTAAATAAAAATTGAAATAAAACTTATCAAATGTAATATTATTTCTTTTAAAATAAATATTATTTTAGTGCAATAAAACTATATTAAATTAAAAATATTTTATATATATTTTTTTTAAAGTTGTTACAAAAACAAGTTTAGTATAAAAGATTGAGTGGTGCCTTAAAAAATCAAATTTATAATTATGAAGGCTAAAAGAATTCATAAATTAAAATAAATAAATAGTTTTATTTTCAAATAAGAATATTAAATTTGATCAAATAATGAATTTCTGTCAAATGCAGACTAAATTAAAGTTATATGTGCATCTGATTATTAGATTTATTATTTTTTTTTTCATTTTATATTTTTGATCTTGAATTAAAAAAATAAAAAACACACACACACATTAAAATTGTTAAGAAAGCGGATGTTGAAAGGCTGTTCAGTTCTATGTAAATATTAAATTTACTTCATCTCTATTTATTATTGTTTTTGAACGTCGCATTTTTAACACACCAGACACACCTCTGTAGCTGACGGTGTGTACAGTACATTGAGTTGCGAGTACTAAAGACTGAAGTTCATTACTGCAGCAAGCAGATTACACTTTTATACTCACAAGTTAATGGATGAGATGAATGAGAGACGTAAACAAACAATTTCTCAAAATATAACGGAGAGTGCGCGCCAGCTGGCCGCGTGTGTTAATTTACATTATGCTTTTATGATAGCGTTTGCAGCTCATGTATTTCTCTTTTAGAATCCTCCGCTTTTTTTCTCCTTTTCTATAACAGCAGCGGTTTTATTTACTCGCGTGAATGATTTTACAACTCTTTCCCGCATTCGTGTGTAAAAACGCCGTGGATCGGCACGACCGCCGTTCTTCGGATTCGAATATTAACAGGTCAAAGCTCCCTCGGCGAAGCTCACGTAATCAGGTGCTGCGGAGGAAAATAAAATTGTAAATATAAATAAACGTACATCAATCTCATATATAATATGCTGGCGAGGAGAGAAAAATCCTCTCGAGGCGGCGAACCACCTGACTGCGGAGAGACGAATGATAATTTTTCGTAATTATCCACGGTGATTATCTGGTGCCATCGTCCAACAGGCGAAATCACTCTCGGCGCCGCGAGTAAGAAAAAAGACCGGTTGATGGAATTTCTGGGAAATTGAAAAAATACCAAATACCTTCACACCTCAATCGTCTCAACAGATTAATTTATTTCGGATTTTCATAAGCAATATTTTTTTACAAGAAAAATATTATGATAATTGAGAAAATTAATATAATTACTTTATGGAAAATAACTTGACACCTTAATTTTGTCATTAGTTCATTTTACATTTAGGCAAAAGCATTGGCAATTTTTTTACGGTAAAAAATTTAGAATTTATCCGTTTTTGTAGAAAAAACTTTTCGGTGGCGCAAAGTTCATTTCAAGTTAATTAACATTAGTGAAAATTCTCCAAGCTCAAAAAATTTTATAAACGAGTGTAAATTTTTATTGTTTGCGTTCTTACAGCCTTCGAAATTCCTGAAATATTTGTCCCAAAATTACAACTCCGTTTCGCAAAATTTATGGTGTCCTTCAACCAATTAATTTTATACAGGCAGCATTGCTCCCTCGATGAGTTTGCCATAAATTTCACCGTTCTAGCGGCGCACAACTTCTAAGGCTCTCGGCAGCTGTTGATTGTAAGAAGCCGCTTCGTCTGTATATATCTCTGATGGACACTGGAGAACCGGACATTAGATATAAATCCACAGAAGTCACTAACCCGCCGACGATGAGAATTCTTGTGAGGCGAGTCAAAAAAAAGAACATCCATAGAGCCAGGAAATTATGTTTTAGAACTAATGAGCCATTATTATTATCATCAGAGCGGCGGCGTTTCTTTTTGAGAGCACACGACGAGCGGATCGTAATAGTTGTAATCATTTCAGGCCATCTGCGAAAAATTGCATATTCGCCCAAGCTGAGCATGATTTTTTTTTCAACCACTCTATGACTGGCAGATTACTTGATAACGGAGCTGGCCAAGATCAGTCAAAGCTGGTGGTTAATTAATAATTATCAAATAAAATCAAAATTTAATTGTTATCTTTCTCATGAAAATTTTAAACTCGAATGACGGAGTCATTTTAGTTTGGAATTGCAAACAGATATGCGTTAAAAAGGAAAAAAATAGCAAAAAAATTTGAAACGTGCTTCATTGTG